CTCTTCTCCTACTAATAAAGACCCCACCCTCCCTAAGGCACCCTATCACTTCATTTATGGTTAGAACAAGCCCATATAATGTAATTTTCATGCAAAAATTCATTAACCTGCATGAAATTTAACTAATTTACATAACAGTGTGTCCTGCTATGACACTACACTAAAAATACCCCCTTGAGGGACGCATAGGGATTTTCTCTTCTAAACAGAGACTTTCTAGACTGCTGTCTTCCTCCTGCATGTGTCCACTGTCTCCCCACACACAATACTACTGGGAGACTTTAATATGGATCATATCAACATCTTTCTCTCTATAGACTTCATATTCTGATCAGTTTTTATTTCAACCGCATGATGCTCCTGCGCTTTCCAGAGACCTTTCCTCGATTTGATCTGCTGCTCTGGCGTTGACCCCAATAGCCGTACTGCATATGAACTTCTCACAACTGATTATTTTCTCCTCTCATTCGACGTTAAGCTCACTTTGCAGGGTCAAAAACAAGGCATAAGCAGTCCTTGTATATAAAACAGTCAATAAATGTGATCGTTTCTTTCTTGCTGGGGTCCAGATTACTGAGATTGCTGCACTCATTCACCTTTTTGATACCATTCAAGTGGTATTCTCTTCTAAATATTTTTATTTCTACGACGTCATCTGTCTCCGTATCTCTGCACCTGACAACTCCTCCAAATGACTCAGGTCCAATTACTTCCTCAACTATGTAAGCCTTTGATTCATCAAATATTTTAACCCCTTTCTTTAATTGTAAAGTTGACGCTTCCAAAGCGTCACTTGAATCTGTCAGATCATGGTTTGTATTTTCTTCATCTGGGATAGTGTGGTAACTTAATGCTGGTGTTTCACATGCCTTTAACACACTGGGATGACAGCTAGTATTTGGATATTTCCCCCTCAAAATGAATGGATGTTTTAAGGCTTCATCTGGGCGTATTCTGTCGGATGGATTAAGCACTATCATCCTCTTAACAAGATTCACAAAATCTTTTAAATCTTCTTGTTCAGCTAAACTTTCTAAATCTGATGTCATTGTCACTAAGTTATCCAGAGACCGTAAATGCTCATAAAACGGATGTAAGGAAGGAACCGTCTTTCCTGTGCCTCTCTCGTATTCCATTTTGGTTTTTAACCTCCATGGATGAGCATTAGGAATATGATAAGGACGAAGTACTTTTTTACGTAGTACAAAAAAGCGGTGGCTGTGCTTACCCCTTTGAATTGCTTCTTTGGCAGGCATACCACAGCATTTAACAATCAACCTCATAACACTGTATTCATCTTCTGGAAACAGATGTTTAGCTAGGTACAAAAACACTAACGTACAGCCAAGACCCCATATGTCGATACTTTCGTTGAATGGAAGACCCATATGTACCTCTGGTGCCCTGTATCCTACAGTCTGCACTTTTGTAATGTTGGTTAATGTGCCTGTCTCATGAGCCGACCCAAAACCAATCAACTTCACCTTAAATGGCTGAGAATCATGATTCACCAGCATTACGCTGCTTGGTTTGATGTCTGCATGAATAACGCCATTGTATTTCAGAGTGCTGAGAGAGACCAGCATTTGTTGAGCTATGGGTCTGATGTCAGCCACTCTCATGGGTTTCCAATGCTGTTGATGTACGAAGTCACACAAGTTGAGCTGTAAAAGTTCAAAAGCAAGGCAAAAATGGCCGTTGTGGATGAAACAGTCAATCATTGTGATCAAGTTGTTGTTGTCGGTGTTAACAATACTAAAATGGTTATGGACGTTTGCCTCGTTGATTGCTTTTAAGTGCTTTTCTTTTTTAAATACTTTCACCGCAAATTTCTCATCCGTATCTTCTTCTATGCACTTGACAACTATTCCATTTGCGCTAGATCCAATGACTTCCTCAACTTGATAAATATTTGATCCATGAATGAGTTGAACCCCTTTTTCTAATGTAAACGTTGATTGTTTAACTTGCCCACTTAATTCTGACTGATCTGAGTCCTCTTCCATCTCCCTAACACGAGCTGGGCTTGCTCTCTCGCTTCTTGCTCTCTCGCTTCTTGCTAGCACTTCTTTTCCAAATTTCACATAAGGACTTTCACTGGCATCAGGGAGATTCTCCATCGTGATGAATGAGTGGTTGAGAGCGTCATCTGGGGTGATCCTGTCTGCTGCCTCCATTGTTAGCATTCTTTTAAAAAGGTCTATCATCGATAAGAAGTCTCTAAATTTTGTAGTGTCTGGCTTTAGCTGTTCTTGTCCCAGTAACTCCGCCAGAGGCTTTGTTTTAGGAACAGTGGGCGTAGACCTCTTATTGTGTTCGATTTTGTATTCCTGTGGTGTTTTGAGCTCCCAGGTTATCGTCGATCCTTTTACGCACTTTTTAAAGAAGTGTTCAACTCTCCAACCTGTGTCCAGAGATGTTTTATGTGGCATACCAAAGAGAGTAATCATTGTACAAACAACGGAATATTCAGAATCAATTTTAAACAGAGAATTACCTAAAATCAAATATACTAACACACAACCAAGGCTCCACATGTCCATCCCTTCATCACGTGGGAGACCAAGGAAAATCTCTGGTGCCCTGTAGTGCCTGTTCTGGTACACATCATATAGCGATACTAATCTAGTTTTACGTGCCAACCCCAAATCAGCCAGCTTAACTTTGAAGGGCCATAAACTGTGGTTTACTAGCAAGATATTATTAGGTTTAATATCTAAATGAGTAACATGTATATGTTTCAATTCTCTGAGAGCAACAAGCAACTGTTTAGCGATACATCTGACTTCACCCATTTTAAGAGGTTTGTTTCTTCGTTTTGCCATAAAGTCACACAAGTCTTGATCCAACAATTCAAAGAATATAAAATAACTGTCCTTGTAGGGAAAATGATCAATACATCTAATGATGTTGCTTTTGTTGGGGTCAAGCTCCCTTAGACAACTCAATCCTCTGACTTCGTTTGTGAAGCTAGTTTTATTTGTGATTAATTTCACTGCAACTCTTGAATCGTCTTCCAGGTTTTTGAATTTTGAAACAACTCCAAAGGAACCCCCTCCAAGAAATGTTTCAAAGCAGTAAACACTTGAATTGCGTTCAATAACTGAGCTTTCTTCTAGAATAAATTCCTCATTTGTGTTGCGTCCTGGGTTGTTCGCTTTAGCGGGGCTTTGACTTGTTTCAGAAGGAGGGGTTATAATAAAGAATGGATGTTTCAAAGCATCAGCCGGAGTTATCCTGTCTTTGGGATTAAGGACTAGCATAACCCCAAGCAGATCTACAAATAATTTTAAATCTGTAACTTCTGTGGCAGTAAAGTCTTTTGGTAGATTGTCCTTCAACTCATTCAGAGAGTTCAAACAGTGAGAAGATAAGTGAGACATTTTGCAGCTCCATCCTCTGTCCTCCGTGTGTTCAGCTACCGTTTTAAACCTCCAATCAGGATCCTGTTTAAAAAACTGTTTCGAACTCCGCCCCTGATCTAGAAGGCTTCGGATAGGCGGACCTAGAAGCTGCAAAATCATTCTCATGTACTCATAGTTACATTCAGCTGGAAACATGGGAAATCCAAAACACAAGCCAGCCAGTGTACAGGCCAGACCCCAAATATCCGCACTTTCATCGACTGGAGCGTTCAGGAGAATCTCTGGGGCACTGAATCCGCAAATAATCGGTATTTCCTGCTTTGAAAGTTCAGATGTTCTTCCAGCCGCGCTAAATCCAGTTAACTTCGCATCGTGACCTGAGCTGATACACTCAATACTTTCTGCTGTTATACTGGTATGAGTGACGCCAACTTTCTTCAACATATCTAAAACTGAAAGCATTCGATGGGCGATCACTTTGATACACCTGATGCCCAAACGTTTGCTTGTTCTGCTCTCAACTATTTCAGATAATTTTAAGTACGAGCTCTCAAGAGCAAAGCAAAACCAGTCTCCATAGTGAAACATTTCTAAAATTTTAACAAACTTATCCTCTTTGGGAAAGTGTTGCTTGAGATAGAAAAGGACGTTGGCTTCTTGTTTATATTTATGCAGATATTTTCGGTGAATGCACTTCAAATCAAGTATTTCATTGTTTTGACATTTTCGGCAACTCGCCAAAACAGCAAAATTATTATCCACATATGAGATACTTTCAACTATATACTGATTTGTCTTACTTACGATAATGGCTCCTTTTTGTATCTTCGCTGTCATAATTTCAGAAAATGTAGTCAGATTTCTTGTAAATTATAAAACAATGCAGTCTCAATACAGTCTGGCTTAATGTGAACTACTGTGTGCTATGAATCTGAGCTAAGACCTATGGTCAACCGCTTTGATCAAGACCTCTTCTTTGTGACGTCACACTCTATGTAAACCCTTTGCTTCTAAGCACAGCGAAGCAGACGCGTTCGACGGTCGAGACGTTCTACAGTGGGTACGTTACGTACGTTACGTAAATTACGTACGTTACGTACAGTGCGTAACTGCGCATGTCCATGAGTAGGAGCAGATTGCTGTGTTGGAAATCTGACTAATCAAAATAAAAAATACAACACTAACTTTTCTGGGTACAATTGCACGTTTAATTTAATTTACTTGAAAATTCTGTTCATGAGCACGTGAAGCTTTGAATCTACTTGTTCCGGTGCCGTGGGAACATATTTTCCTAAGGGGTGCTGTGATCGGCCGCATACTAAAACCCGCACGTGTTTAACATGTTTATATATATTCATGTGTATTAGTTGTAATTATTCTTGGTTCATTCTTCAACATAACAGCAGCTTATTACCATCAACGCTGGAAAAAACCCACAAATAACAAGTCAAAACTTCCAGAATCCACACCGAACCGCGCGTTGGCAAGGGAACTGGAGCTCTGCAGCTCTTCAGACAACAGATCCTAAGTGTTTATCAACAGAAACAGAACCACTGACCCACTGTAACGAGCACAGATCGAGCACTCAACCTTTCCACACAGAGCAACAAAGAGCAATAATCGAATCGGTCTTACTTTAATGATGACGCTCCAGAGGTGTTCTGGGCTCAGGAACGGCGCTGATGAAACGCGGCGTCATCCTGTCTCATTTATCCAACTGGTCCACAACCTTTCCACGCAGGTGCACGTGTCTGAGGTGTGTTAGTTACCACCCTTGTTCTACGGAAATACGGAAATAAATGTTACGCCGGTTTGCAAAGCGGCGGCCGCATTAGTTAACCCTTTGATGCATGAATCATGAAATCTTCAACCATCATTTTTTAAACAATTTTTTCATTCATCTTTAGGTGTGAATGAAACAAATTGCAACCAATATTTTTCGTACCATTTAATATTTTACAAATAATTTATTACATGTCCACCTCAGTGAATGAAAATATGTTGGCTTGACTTACTGAAGTCCAAATCTAGGAGCTCAAATGCAATAAAGTCATCAACAGCTGTGCTTCGTAGCAATAAATAAATAAATGAATACAATTTTGAGTACAGTAGTACCACTGTAGTGACCATTATGCATCAAAGGATTAACGGAAAACCAACATGGAGTAAAATACCAGAAGAACGTCTAAATGCATGAACAAAAAGGAGGCAAGTGTCCCTATTTGTGTACACACATATCTCATGTCTTATATATATGATAGCTCAGCGTGTGTTTGGCATACAAAAATGTTTGTGAAAATAATATTATGCTTTTGTAGTTGTGTTCAATTAAAGTCAAAATAATATCTAATTAAATAATTTTACTCTGCTTGCAGAATTTCAACATGCACAAGCCCAACCAGCCATTCCTCCCCATCCCCGCATATTTCTCTCCTCCTGCTCCCTCACATCATCACACAAACATACACATAGGACCTTGGGGGGTGGGCAAGTCGGGGAGTGTGGGTATGGACGCCATTTCCGCATTCCTGTGGCAACCTGCCCCCCAATTTTATTTGCACCTTATACACGTCCACCGATGACATTCCACGCAAACACACACTTAGGGCCTTGAGAGTGAGCACATTCAACAGCATTTGGCAGGGGGATTTCTCAGCCTCCTCCCGAGTGCCGGTGCCCACTTCCAATTTTAAACTGCACTTAGACACCGAGGACTGTGGGTGCAAGTGGGGTGGTGCGGTGGCATCCGCTGGCATAGGCCGGAAGATGCCCGCACTGCCCGCTCACCACAGCCATGGAATACACCTCATCAACACACAACACTATAATGGAGCAGGCGGAGGGAGACTAGGGGTCTTAGCCACCTCTGTTGTTGCTAGGCTTCCTGGGGCTGGAGGCTAGGAGGGAGATCTGGCCGTCTGGTTGGGGTCTGGGGTGGTGGGTTGCTGTGCTCAGCGTTGGGCGGGGGAGCCTGCTCATCAGCACCCCAGCAGAAAGGGTCAAACTCTGGTAACCGGTGATGGTTGTACCCAATGTGCAGCAGTACCGGGACCAGAGTGAATAGGGTGTGTATGGGGAGCATGAGTGGGTGTCCGGCGTGCATTTTTGTAAGTCTTTGGTTGTATGTGCATGTGTGAGCATGAGGAAGGGAGTGTGTGACTGTGTTTGTGTATGACTGTATATGTCAGGTGGGGCCTTTGACTCCTCCCCTCTCCTGGGACTTCTTTTGATGATATAGATCTTCGTCTCCCCTCCCCCTGCCACACGTGGTGTGGGGTGTGGTTCCTTGGTCTACCTGAGTGTTTCTGGCTCCCGGGTCAGGGGGTTTAGGATTTTTGGCGTCTGCCTGATCAATCCCGGTGGCTGCCTGGTGGGATCTGGGTCCCCGGCGGGGGTGGGCGCCCCTGGGTCCCGGGTCGCTGGGTCCTGGGCTCGGCCGGCTAGGGGGTGGGAGGCTGCGGGCGGGCCTGTGGGCTTGCCGCTGATATCTCCCGGGACTCTGCTGGCTGCTGGTTGTGGCCCCCCGGGGAGATCCTCTGTGCCTCTCGAGGGGGGCGGGGGCCTTTCTGGTTGCAGTCTCCCTGGGGTTCCTCTGTTCTGGGGCAGCGCCTGGATCTCTGGGACTTGGAGCTCCCCCCGTCTCCTACACATCTTTGGGGGGGCGGATCTGTGGTCCCTCACACTCTCTATTGGAAGTTCCTGTAGATAAACCTTGCATAAACAAGCGCGTGTACACACACAGGTGCTCACATGGTGCTCTCAAAAGTATGGGCTTGGGCACGTTCAACTCTTGTCTCAAGGCTGTCGTTGCCACTAAATGCACTATGATTTATTATCGTGTGATTGTTCATTTAAACAATGTTGATTTTATATGTCATCATCAGGTTGACGTAGTGATAGCTTGCTCCTGATGCATTGTTGTGTGTCCCATTTTTTTCTGCTCTTTCTCTTTCTGCAGGTCTAGAAGCAGACTCTTGTTCATTATTGTTTATTTTTGTGGGAACCCCCCCCCCCCCCCCCTCCCCCACCCCCTTCCCCCCTCTCTTCCCACCATTTGTCTTTTCCTTTCGCTTTCACCTCTGTCTCCGTGTCTGGTCGGAAATAAAAAGCATTCAAAAACAATAACAATAAAGTTTTAAGTATCAGGCGTGACATTAAAAGCAGACGCTTTGATGCTCCACCTGAGAGTAAATCTATAAGGCTTGTCACCAGCATTCAGACATCAATTCTGTCTGCTTCACAGCCAGAGAGGTCACGGTTAAAAGAAAATTTCAACATGCATATAACTTGTTATCCTCAAGGTGGTGCTGCCACCTCTACTTCACATGTACTGTGTTTCTGTGTAGAAGTAAATGACTCAAATCCTCACTGTTGGTGCATTCCCGAACAGGCTCGGCACAGAAAAAGGGCATTTGTTCTCCTTTAGGACTCTTGGGTTCGCCTAAAGCCCCCCCCCCCCCCCCCCCCCCCCCCCCCACACACACACACACACACATACACAGTGTGGACATTCACTTGTTACAGCAGCACATGCACTCTGAGTCACATCAGAGTTGAGCTTCAGAAGGCAGGATTTGGACCCTTACTTCCTGGTATTTGGACACCTCACCTCTGATTGGCTAACAGCAACATGACGCTTCCACTGACTCTGTTTGCTTTGCAACGGTGATGTTTAATCTCCACAAATAACACAAAGCTGGAGGAGTTCTGCTGTGTGCTGGAATTTCTAATGCTAGCAGTTAGCTTCTACTAGCCAAGACGCTCTCTGCTGTTTCCTGGATGCTAAAACAAGAACAGACTTCCCCATCGTTGGTCAAGATGGGTGAGTCCATGAATGTTAAGTGACAGTGGGACGGAGCTCTGTCAGAGGTTAATGCAGGAGATAGATGTAGGAGACTATTTTCATGTTCAGCCTGCATAAAAACTCAGTGTGACCCATTATGATTAGAAACAATCATTTTAAAATGTTTTTTTTTCAGTGAACCAGCTTTAACGCTGCACAGGTTGCCAGACACTACTCCACCTGATCCAGAAGTGACTCCAGCTCACATCCCTGAAGAGTCTCTTCATTCCTGCTTGTATAAACATGACATTTTTCATCATGCAGAGGAGAATTTCGCATGCAGAACATGTTAGCATCTGTCTGCCTAAATGGATTAGTGTCAATAAAAGGAGTTTGGCATTCCCTCATGTGAACCTCGTTAATGTACCCGCTGCTTGGAATCATGTGTTTGATACATCTGGATTTGTGCTCACATTGATTAAATCAAATTGAACATATGTTTGCATGAAGTCCATGTATGCACATGGTTCCTGGTCATCAGGGACTCACCAGTGGGTCTGCCCCCCAGGTTTGTGTCCTGGTTTAGGCTCAGGCCTACAGGTCAGGTATTGTGGTGCCTTGTTCTTTGTGACAGCAGTGTCTGTCAACTCAGCAACATGGTCTGCTGGTAGTGTTTGTTTTCTGTGTTCTGTCCAGAATGACTGGTTAATGTGCACACAGTCTTCTGTTTATGAATGCATGTGTTAATTTTGTACTTCTATTTTGAGTTACCAGTGACTTGGAGTTGCCCATGGAGTCTCACACCTGCAGCTCATCTCCTCAGGAAGCCTAATCGACACTCCTGGGATCTACCAACTCCCAAGGGAGGGGAGATTCATCTTTATGCTTGTGATTAATTTAATGTAGATATTGTGTTATGGATAGGAAGTTTGTAATTATGATTTAGTTATTTGAGTTACCTGAATTGTTTAGACTGGTTAGTTTGTGTGTGTGAGGATGTGTGTGTTAATTGTATGTTAATTGTTCCCCTCTTGTCTGTAGAGTGGTCTGATCAGCCACTATTTAAGTTGAACCTGGTGTGTCTGAAATGTCTTTTGTTTTTCTGGATAGAGTGTCTTGTGCTGTGATTAGGTTAAAGGTCCTGTTAACTTTGAAGCTGCTCCAAAATAAAATAGAGTTTTGAGTCTCATGAGCAGTGCTTCTCTGGCTGGTTTGTGCAAGTCCCTGACATTCTTAGACTCATTTTCCTGTTTTACTGAAACGTTTTTGTCTGGTCTCTCACCCAGAACCAGCGTGCAATGGAACCTGCTAGCAGGAGCAAATCACGTCTGACAGCGTGGCTTCTGGGGTCCCGAGGACACTCGGAGGCCTCAGCTTCTCACACTTTGTGTTTCACACTCAGCTTTGTTTACGGTCTCGGTAGATTTCAAGACCCGTAGCTTAAATGAGAGGAAATGTAATGTGTAATGACAAAATGCTCTGCTAGTGAAGTGATGAAAAACAAGGTAGAGAGTTCAGTCTTCCGGTGTGGGATCCATGTCGCCTCCCGGTTCTAAAATTAAACAACCTATAAGACCGCTGATGTAAATCAGTCGGTAATAAGCCAAGAAATAAGCGATGCCACAACAGTTTCATCACCTACTGCTTTAGATGTGGAAAAATATCTGAGCTGCTTCTTAAATATGACTCTGGTCAAAGTGTCATCTGATTTTTATTTAGAGGTGGTAGTGAACTAAACAGGCTGCCTCTACGCAGCAGAGCCGCTTCAGATGGAAATGTGTGTATGGAGCCTGACCCCGGCTTTCCACGGGAGCCGTCAGCAGCACGTTACTGCAGCAGCACGTCATAGCTGCTGATAGGAACTGCTGTGGTCAACAGAACCTTTTCCACTGGAGCCGTCAGCAGCGCGAGTCGGCCGCGTCTCAGGAGCAGCATGTCGCGGCCTTTACGCGCTGGTTCTATTTTCTACGCGCGACGCCTCTGAAACGGGTCAAGTTCGACATTTTTGGGGAAGGAAAGACAGGAAATCGGACGCGGAAATGGAGAGAAGCTCCCGAGATTTTCAGAATAAAGAACGTGCTGCCTTCCGGTTGCTTTACTTTTAAAAAAGGTCACTAACTGTGCGTCCCCGTGAGAAGTTATCACCTAGCTAGCGGCCTCCTTTGTTTTTCAGGTCCGTATTGGCGATTATAAAACGGACAGAACATAAAACACAAACCATGTTGTAGTTTTCTCCTGCTTGTTGTTGTGTTTACTGACGAAGTCACTCGTGTGACTTCGTGCTCGTCGGTGACAGCTGCTCCCCTGCTGCTTCGCGTCTCGTGGGAAGGGCCAAGCAGCAGCTTACGCGAGCAAGACGTGCTGCTGCAGTAACGTGCTGCTGACGGCTCCCGTGGAAACCCGGGGTGATGGTTGGCGGTGCTGGGGCCATGGCAGCTGCAGGACGTTCTGTAGCACCCTTCCTGGTGAGCATGTGGTCTGCAGGGTGCACATGAACACTTGATTCTTTTGGTCTTAAGCAGGTTGTGTCGGTTCCTACCCATAACCAGTCTCATATTTTAGATTTAGTGATGTTTTATGGGATAAATGTTAATAATTTGTCTGTTGACCAAACTGTCATTTCTGATCATTTTCCAGTTTTGTTTGATTTTGATTGTCCGGTGAGCTTAGGAAAAAGGCCTGTGGTGCTGCGCCAGACACGGGTTATTACCCCGGCTACAGCTGATAGATTATGTACTTCTTTCACTGAACTGCTGGCCTCCAACCTATTTTACACCAATCCAGATGATGCTTTGCGTGTTTTTCACTCAGCCTGTCTCATGGTGATGGATACCGTTGCTCCTTTAAAGGTGAGACGCCCTAAGCCAAAATCTGACCCTTGGTTAAACTCTCACACACATGAACTCAGAAGATTATGCAGAAGGTGTGAACGCAGATGGAAGACGGATAAACTATCCATTTCCCATGAACTTTTTAGAAATGCACTAGATGAATATCAGAAAGCAGTCAGGAATTCTAGAAATAAATACTTCGCCAGCATTATTACTACCCATTGTGGGATCTAGACGGTTTTATATAAAACGCAAAATGCAGTTTTGTCCACTGATTACTCTCCTACGGTTGCAATCACAGATGATCTCTGCTCCCAATTTTTGAGATTTTTCCTAGACAAAGTCTCCAATATTAGGAGTCTAATCTTTTCCCCCGGAGATGTTCTGCTACCCGTATCTGTTTGTACCGGATGCTTTGACCATTTTGAGCCGATCACACTGCCTGCCTTGGAGAGATTAACATCTTCCATGAAGCCATCAGGATGTCCTGATGACATTGTACCAGCCAGACTCTTCCGGGAGGTTCTTCCAGTGGTAGCCCCTCATGTGCTCAACATTATTAACTCCAGCCTTGTTTCGGGACTTATACCCTCTGTTTTTAAACATGCCGTGCTTCAACCACTACTGAAAAAATCTGGCCTAGACCCAACTGTCCTCGGGAACTTTCGCCCCATTTCAAAGCTCCCCTTCTTGTCAAAAGTGATGGAAAAGGCTGTTTATAATCAAATTATGCCACATCTGAACAATTTTGGGGTCTTGGATAAATTTTAGTCTGGTTTTAGACAATATCACAGCACAGAATCCGCTCACATCAGGGTTTTTAATGGTATTATTTTAGCCACTGATTCCGGTTCCCATGTTGCCCTGGTGATGTTGGACCTCTCAGTTGCATTTGACATAGTTGACCATGACATTTCATTGTCCCGCCTTGAGAATTTGGTCGGCATTAAGGGATCTGCGCTTGACTGGTTCTGCTCCTACTTTGACAACAGGTCTATTAGAGTTAGAATGGACGACTGTTCATCTCCCTCTGCTGCTCTTCCTTGGGGCGTGCCACAGGGTTCTATCCTCGGACCCCTTTTATTTAGCATTTATATTCTTCCACTGGGACTAATCTTTAGGAAGTTTAACATTAACTTTCATCTTTATGCGGACGACTGCCAGATTTATGTTCCATTGAAGACTTTTACCTCCATCCAGCCGCTCCTTGATTGCCTGAGTGAGGATAAAGACTGGCTGTCAGCAAATTTTCTGCTGCTGAATGGTTTTAATACCGAGTTTATTGTTTTTACTCCTAATGGCTCGTCTTCCTCCGCTCCTGATTTTTCTGCTCTTCCTTTTAAAATTAGTCAAACAATTGTTAATCTTGGAATTAAAATGGACGTGGCTCTAAAAATGGACCCTCACGTTAATCACATGGTTAAATCATGTTTTTATCAGTAGAGACGTCTTTCCAAACTAAAACCCATTCTGAATCGGCGCCACCTCGAGACAACCATTCACGCTTTCATCACCTCAAGGTTGGATTACTCCAATGCATTTCTGTTTGGCATTTCATAAACCGCATTATCTCGCCTTCAGCTGATACAAAATGCGACAGCAAGATTTCTGACCAATACTGGCCGTCGGCAGCACATCACTCCAATTTTAGCAAGACTTCACTGGCTTCCTGTGCACTACCGTATACGTTTTAAAATTTTATTGTTTGTTTTTAAGGCGTTGAATGGCTTAGCACCACCTTACATATCCAAGTTACTCACTCCTTATGTGCCAGGCAGGACTCTCCGTTCAGGTGACCTACACCTACAACAGATTCCCCGTCTACGCTGCAAAACCCGTGGTGAACGAGCTTTTTCTGTCTGCGCTCCGAAACTCTGGAATGATCTCCCGCTGAATATCAGACTCTCCTCCTCCATTGGGGGGTTTTTAAGTCTCACTTAAAGACTTACTTTTATTCCCTTGCTTTTACTGCCTAGTTATTTTATCGATGGTTTATTTACACTGTTCTTTTACTGATTTTATTGACTTCTCTTGTTTGGTTCTTTGTGCTAGGCTCTAGCAGTTTTATTCTTTTATATTATTTGTTTAACCGTATATGTTTTTACCCCTGTACAGCACTTTGGTCAGTTCACATGCTGTTTTTAATTGTGCTTTATCAAATAAATGGAATGGAATGGAATGAAAGAATCACAAAAATGCATTGGCCAACGCTAGAATTAGGTGTTTCCAGTGTCAGTGTGCTGTGATAGTGGGACAAGGGCATGATTGTGTTGTCAATGGCGCTGACAGAGATGCCCTAACTCGTCTGTGAGTCACGTCATTCTGCTGACAAGTTGGACTTCAGGAGCTTGTCAGACAGGTAAAGCAGGCATTATTGGCTGAGGTGGAGTTACGCTGTAGCAGGCTCCTGTGACAGCTGTGGAAGAGAGGTGGGTCTGCTGGCGTACTCGATTGCGAGAAGAGAAACATGTCTCTGAATCCGGCCAAGGGCCGATGTGGACCAAAGGAACAACCAGTGAGAAGTCTCAGAGCCACATTTTAGCACCTACAGCGGACTAGTTTTGTTGCTGGCCCTTGTCTCTGCGGGTAAGTAAAGAACAAAACTACAGATTTTATTTACTGTGTTTTATTTACACCGAAGACTTTTCCTGCTGCCTCTGAGAGAAGAGAACCTTTAAGCAGCGTGTGACTCAGCAGCAGTTAGACGGAACATTCTCAGACTTTGGTCTGAGCTGGAGCTTGTTTGGTTTACGGAGGCGGCTGACCGGGTGTTTGTTCTGCTGTCACACTTCATCTGACATGACTGCTGCAGCAGTTAGTGACGGCAGTCTGTGTTCTTACTTTTTGTCCTGGCTGCACCATTCTGTCACCTGGAGCTGAGGATGTCACAGGCCTTTGTTATCTGCTGTAGCTTGCCGTACAGCTCATGGTTTCTGTATGGAGGCCATTCAGAAAACGTGTCTTTACTGGTTTTTACTAAACAATTGTCCAGGATTTAGCTGCTTGTCAATCCAGAGCTGTTCTCCATAACACACACACACACACACACAACACACACACACACACACACACACACACACACACACACACACACACACACACACACACACACACACGTTATGACAGATGTTGGTTCCATTTATTTTGTGTTTCACTTCTTAAACAACCCACAGCAAACTGTTAGTTAGTAGGGAAACAAACAGCATTAAAAAAAAACAGAAATCTCATTCATTCAACAGTTAGACACTGTTTCTGTCTCTTCAGAGGCAAACTTGTTCTTCCTGTCCCTCCTGGTCCGAGAAATCCACCATCCAAACTCACAGACCCAACTGGGTCCCCTCCTTATATCGTTAAAGGTACAATGTGTTGCATAACAGTCTGATGTCTCAGTCTTGTTGAAAGGAGTTACTTCGAAACTGATTTTCTTCTCAGCTGACAGGGGGCCTGAAGGGGAGGATAGTTTTTGTTCTCCGTCTGTGAGCGTGCAGGGTCAGCGCTGCAGCGCTGGCATTTGTAATTCAACAACATTGTTTAGTAAAGATCTCAAGCCAACAGGTGCAGCCCAGAAGTTATTTGTAAGCCTAAGAAGCATCTTTTTATTTCACTCTAATATCTGGTAAAGAAGGCTAGAGGCTAACGTTGAGCTAACAATGCTAATAGTGAATTAGGAGCAAATCGTCAGCTCTAACAATCAAGTTAACTCAAGCTACTTTTTTTCAATTCCCAACAACTTGATAATACAGTGAAACATATTTATGTCATCAACATATACATATATGGACAATGGGTTTCCATAGACTCCAATAACACGTTTTTGAAGAGAAATGGGAGGTGGCCACCACCGCCATTTTGACCGTGTCACAGGCTCCGTCAAGCCCAGACAATTCCACAAAAGGGAAGAGAGGTGGGGCTGTAAGGCTGGGATCAACTGACGACACCCGGTCGAACTAGCTACAAGCTAACCTGAAGCTAACCCAAAGCTAACGCAGAGGTGGGAGCTAAGCTAACGGAGGTAGCAACCTAGCTACAACCGGAGTTAACTGTGCACAACACCAGAGCTTCTGAGTCAGAGATACGCCGGGCTGACCGCTGGGTAAAACCGGGTGGAACACAGAGGTCTCTGAGAGCTCCACAAGCCGGCAGCCGCACAGCAGACAAGCGCCGCTGCGAACAGACAGAAATGCGCCGAGCTGCGGCGAGGGGAGAACGGGTGGAAAACATCGGTCTCCCGAGAGCTCCACAAGCCGATAGTCGGAACCCAGCTCCACCAACATGTTATATTTCAACCCATTTTCTAAAGTGCAGCATTATGTTAAATGCACTGGGTTTTACCCTATTACATTTAAATTTCATGGTTAAACAGTACATGTTAAAATCTAAGCTCAGCTCGGCAGTGACCTAAAATACATAAATATAATTTTACTTACCGAAAAAAATGAAGTGGAGACTCCTTGGACGCTCTGTTAGTGCAATTAATGCCACAGCAAGTCATTTTGTCCAACAATTGCACAAAAAATATCCTAAAAGAACCCACAGACGCTACAACTAATGGTCTAATTTGAGAGACTGAAACTGACAGAACAGTTTTCGGGCGAGGCCGAGGCTCAGGCTGAGGCCTTTCCCCAGAGCTAGCTCTGTGGTCATGTGGGTCTGATGCTCATTAATTATACAGAATTTTAGGCTTTTAATACACTTAAACAGAAGAGTGAGAAAAAAATTCACCCCCCTCAGAGTTGTCATGAGTGTAAACTAGATCATTTAAACCAAAAACATGTTTTGGTACCAGGCTGTAAACATGTTTATTTCTGCTGTGAAATTGGTATTTTTAACATGAGAGTCAATGAGGATTTGCTCGTTTCTGATACCAGCCCCTAGTGGATGAGGGTGGAACTGCAATTTATTTCATTGTGTAAGGCCGAGCTGAGCTGAACCGGAGCGAGAGTTCGGGATGTAGCGTGTTTTTAAACCCAAGCGCGGAGTGATTGACGCTGGACAGACTGACACGCGGTTTGTTCTAGGAGTCAAACCGTATAATGACTGGAGAGCACGGCGGCTCCAAAAGGTACCAAGCTGACTTACTTTGAGCCGGCAGGGTGAGTAGCACGGGCTGATCTGGTCAGAACGGACTGAGTGATCGGGTTGGATCTGGTCGGAACTGGGAGCACAGTTCGGTTAGAACGATGACTGAGTGGTTTGGCGTTGAGCTGTACTTCCTTATGTAGATGTTGCGGGTGACGTGGGCCGGAAGACTGGCGCTGGCTGGGTAGTGGAGTTCGGTTGGCCTGAGTGAGTGTGTGGTCCTCCCCCGGAGGATGTCGAGGGTTGTGAAGGAGGCAGCGTGACACATTGGCCTCAATTTCTGTCCCGCATTGTGGGGGCTTGATTTATGTACACATAAACTCACTGTGTATGACTCATCTTCACTCGTCATCTAGAGTCCTCTGGTGGTGATCTGTAACTGGCAACAGCCGTGAAACTCACAGAACAGTAGTGGAAAAGTCACCCGTTTGTTTAGAAAATGGGCTGCAGTACCCAACTTTGACCACAGGATGTCATTCTTACTCATTGCACCTTTAATGATCAACTAGAGGATAGTGCTCTGACACAAATGACACCAGGTCAGCACAGCTGTCCACAGAAGCTTCACAGTGAGAGGCGGGAGACACGCTGAACAAGTCTTCACCGGGAGACACGATACACACACAGAGGATTTTTGGCGAGCAAAGGATTTCTGATGGTTTATTTCTCTGCGTTTAATCTCCTGGCAAGTACAGTGCAGATGGTGTGACAGCCTGCCCTAGCTGTCAGATCCAACCTGAGAACTTCTCATGGCTGATTGGTGTGTTTCTAGAGAACATCTGGGGAGGTCCCAGGTTAGGGTCCGAAACTAACGATAGCAGGATTGTTCTTAATGATCTGGTCCTTGCTTTGGGCAGCATCGATTGCTTAATGGATCCTTCTGTCAATCACACGTTTGATTCTTGTCCAGGTGAGTAGTCTCTGAAAGCCTTCACTGCCCAGCCGCGGTGGACCTGGCTAAAGAACAGGACTGTCTGGCTTTGAAGATGATGTCTGATGGAGAGTTGCTGCATTCAGGAAACATCTTTACACGAGGCTGTAGAACCAGAGCAAGTCTGCCTGCGGGTCACTCAAGTTACCAAACAAGAGACAGATCAACAGGTAGGAGAACCACGTGCACACACCTGACACAGTCCACACGGTTCCTCCCCTGTGGTTATCACTCACTCACTCACTCACTCACTCACTCACTCACTCACTCACTCACTCACTCACTCACTCACTCACTCACTCACTCAACTTTAGCTCGATATATCAACCGTATTTATCTAACACCAGTAATGAACAGGTGTCCGCCTGAGACGTCATAATTCAGAGTCTCAAACATTAAAAGAATCAGTATGAAGAACTGTTTGTGTGTTCTTCAGCTGGAAATAACCAGATTAGATCATCTTCTACATGGATGAACTTCAATTATGCAAACCATGTTTTTAGAGACCCTTTATGTTGACAACACTTCCTGAAAACAAAGGAAATGCTATGAGAAGCTGTAGGAACATGATATAGATATTATTTACATGGAATTCTGTGGTTATTTACATGCGTAAATATCACCTGCAGCAGGTAAACGTGGCTCTCCCTCCAGAAATCAAGTGCAGAAGTTCTGAATATTTATTCTGCAATAAATGTTTCACATGAACTTTGCAGCCGCCAGGAATGGTCGGTTTTCCACCTACAGTCTGACCTCTTCAGTATCTGGCCATTTGGAGACATAAGTTTTAACCGGTGCTTTTAATCTGCAAGAAAGATATTGTTGCTTGTCCTAAGGCCCTCGCAAGCTCACCCTTATCTATGTAACGGAATTGAAGTGATGTAACTATCTAAAGTTGTAGTTTAATACACTGTTAGTAGTTCACTTTTTATAAACAGAAGAATAGGCTGTTTTTATCATCAGGGAGTTTAATTAAACACTCTGTATTGACTTTGAGACAAGAAAAGAGAGAGATGGGATCGTTTGAGAATCTTTAATTTCTGAATTATAAATTCTAACAATCTACCAGGACTACTCTGTGATGGATGAGAATGGATTCGGATGTTGTGTTGGTGCGTGTGTGTGTGTGTGTGTTTGGTTCAGACTCCTTAGGCTGACGTAAAGGAATCTGGTCATCTTTGTTATGACTAGATATCACGAGGCTTATAAAGTGATGACATGAGCCGCTATTTTGCCGTGTACGTACCCAGTGGGGGTCTCCCAGGTAGATCAGGAAATGCCAGGTCCAAGAACCTCGGATGTACGCTGGAGCTGTCGGTGCAGCGGTCACAACGTTTCAAAGCCCGTCTGGAGGGTCGACCCCGGTACCGTTCGTCGGCGTCAGCAGGTGCTCTTATTTTGAAAGGACGTCGTCTGGTTGTTAAACGACGAAAATCTCCCGTTTCACAGTTCTTAGTTTAGAGAAGAAAACACATCTGGCCAGGCTGCGCTTTTCTTTAGGATGATGGTGAATAGAACTGAAGTCAAAATGGAACTGCCTTTAAAATGGCGTTGCCTTGTTTTATATCTCTGAATTGTTTTAAGTTTCAGTAAAGTGGATTGGACACTTGAAGTCAACACCAGATTCTCCTGCGGCAGCCGAAAGCTCTGATTGGTTGGAACAATGTGTCATGCGTTTCTATGGAGATGAGGATCAGTATGTCTGTGCCGTAGTCCTGTTTTCATTAAACATAATTCATGACATATTTATTTCACAGATCATTCACTTGATTATTGTTGATCAACATCTGTTGTGCTTAATAATTTTAATCACAAATAAAGTACTTTGATTAAGTAAAGTTTCTTCTTCTCCTTCGGACTCTTCTCCTGGAATGTAAACAGTCTGAGGAACACCCGACCTTGGTTTTTCTACATGGTGTTATTGTGCACAGGGGACAGCTGTATGGAGTTGAAAACCATGAACTTCATAACCTTACATCTAAGACTGTTTTTATTCACAGAACAAGAAGGATGAACTGATTAAATCATATAAGGAAATGCGCTTTTATAGTATAATTTTATAACGTTATAAATAATGAAGTGTTAAAATAATGATGACATGGAATGAACAATATGGTTAAATGAAATGTTTTGATTAAGCTGTGCTTAAATTACTGAAGTTGAAATAAATATTATTATTACACTAAGGATTAAATGAAATACATGACCCGTATATTTAATCAGCGCACTGACTGGACAAGACACACTCACCATATCTCCATGATGCAAGTTAGAATTAACGTCACTGCACATAGATATTTTCTTATCCACAAAATCAGCATCTTCATATCTGAGGGAGGTGTGTATCTGAACTTTTTGGCAAAACCCCTTTACAGGGTAAGTTCTGATTTATCTATAAACCAAGATGTGGCCATTATTTATAACATCATCACTTCCTGAGTGATTCAGTTGAGCTAACTCTGACTGGCCATCGGAGGAAGCCTCTTCTCCCATCGCATCTTTTGACGAGCTGTCAAAACCTGTTGCGTGCTACAGCTGACCGCAAACGGTTCCTTCAGAACAAAGTTGGACCAGCTTCGACTTCTTAAGAGTCCTCCATAGATGCAAATAACTATCTGTCATGACCTGGAGACATCTCGAGACCGGTCTAGTGGCACTGCGGTTTCTTTTACGGGCTTCGGTACCTCTGGGGTCCCCGGACCTCAACACATTCCGGATCTACCACGGGGGTCTTCGAAGGGTACCTAGACTCGACAGATTGCGTCTGATGTGGTTTTATAAACCATCAACTATAGTTATAGCAGACCAAATTCACTCCCACTCAGAACTCAGTTTCTTCAGGTACGAGGGTTCTGATGACATCACATTCACACATCCTCACACCTCACATTCCATCCACTTAGATTCATTCATCACATAAAGTGTTTCCTAGTTTCATGTTTTCAATTGTTTAGAAAATAAATGTCTTGCTTTTTATGAACGCGACTCTGTCTGAATTAATACAAAGTGTCTTTGTCGTGGATTTTATCAATATGTTTATCAATAACCCATTTCCTATAGTGAAGAGAGAAGGAGACGATGATCAGACAAGTCAAACAGTTATAACTGTGGCATAATGCACGAGGCAAAATGCCCCGAACATCTGCTCACAGACTTTATTTATAGAGAGATGAGAGTGGAGAGAGATATTGTGTCTGTGTGTGGGAAGTCAAGAATGTGTGTGTGTGTGTGTGTGTGTGTGTGTGTGTGTGTGTGTGTGTGTGTGTGTGTGTGGGTGTGTCTGAATGAGTGAGCATGCAGAGAGGCATAGAGCAATACATTTCCATTCAGTTGAGTCCATGATCAAGAATTAATAAACATAAATGTTTCCATAACAGTCTTACAATCCCTGAATAAACAAATAAGTCTAAATCTTCTGGTTAAACATTCAAAGACCAATCAGATTGGATTTCCATATTTATACAGAAATTCACATCTTATTGGTCAAATGTAGTGTAATATATTAAGCTTTAAAAGCACCCAAAATACATACGTATGCCAACTTCCTCTCTCTCTCTCTCTAGATATAGGTATAGATAAATAAATATACTCTGTTGAATCATCACCTGTAAGATGAAATAGAAGGTAAATGAAAAAGCCTTTCAGTCTTTGAGTTGTACATTTCTTGATTTTCATCATGATAAATGGATGAATGAATGATGATGATGATGATGATGATGATGAGTAATTTGCCTCAGCTGTAGCTTGGTTTCTAGGAAATACAAACAACATTTTAACTTGAAACCAGTTGTGGGCGAACATTTAAACCCATTTCTATAACACACACCAAAAGCATAACTCAGTAAACATTCCAGAATATAATTATTTACCTTTTCACTTGTGCTGGTCAGTTACTTTTCTCTTGTTTGCTGAGAGGGTGGAGGTTTTCTGTTAGCAGATGGCTGTAAGCTACATGTGGCAATAAGTGAAATTAACAATGACCACGTAAAACCAAAAGTTTAAAACGTTCTGGTATTTTTCTGTGCTGAAAAGCTGCTGTGAGGTTTTAGATGGCTGTTAAGGCTCTGTGACAGTCCCCGGTTGTGTGTGCCCTGTCAGGTGTGCTGTACCTGCAGTATGGAGATGAGAAGAAGCAGGTCAAGATGCCTTCTGAAATCATCAGCTGGGATATGCTGTGGGCTCTGTTTGCCTCAGCATTCCCCCATCAGCTCACCATCAAGATGCTACAGTCTCCCAACATGGCCGTCTGCATCAAGGACTACAACCGCAATGTGTACTGCAACCTGAATGATGCTAGGTGAGAACGTAGATGGAGCTTCCTGAGTGCTTAGAAAGTTCTTCAGCTTCAGTGGATCTGATAAAAACTCCATGGTCTCTACATCCAGAGGAGTGCTGAGTGTGTGCAAAACAACCCTAAGTAGGCCTAGCCACTTCAACACTCACATCATAAACATGCTACAGTGGTGTGAAAAACTATTTGCCCCCTTCCTGATTTCTTATTCTTTTGCATGTTTGTCATACAAAATGTTTCTGATCAAACACATTTAACCAGGGTTTCCCTTACATAGGCGTAGCCGTGGCGGCCCGCCACGGCTGAAATCCCACCGCCACGCCTACAACATCCCAAGTTTTATTGATGTTCTTTTTTTTTTTTTTGCGCCGTTTCCCGAAGAAGCAGCAGGAACTTCTGTGTTGTTGCTTGTGATCACAGCCGGCAGGTAGCAAGGAGGAGGAGGCAGGGCAGGGTGGTTACAGCTATGAGCGTACGGATAAAGCATTTTTGACGAATACGAGCAAGAAACGAGTGTAAAACTCGGAAATATCTGTAATCGTGCTGAATGAAATCCTCATTGGGTAACTGACTGTCTTCAAGCTCTGTGATTGGCCAGTCAGATAGAGCGCCCGCCCCTCCCTACACGCAAAACTGCAGCCGGGAGCTCCGTCAACTCGGTCCAGGCATCAACACACACACAGAGACAGTAAGCTGGGCGCAACACTGTGCGACATTTTCACTTTTTTGAGCAGATTTTCCACTTGTGCGAGAATCCACAAGATCGGGGCGGGTTTTGCGCTGAGCGTCGTGTAGTGTACAGGGGGTTACGAGAGGCGATTAACACCACGTGACCAGCTACCGATCAGCAATCGTGAGCTCGCACGGACTTCTGGAGTGTTTAATATTTATCTCGTTCCTCATGAGGCTTGAAGCGGCGCTGCGAGCAGCTGCGACCCAAAAAGTATCAGAACCGCTCACGGCGCATTCGCAATCCTGCATCAACTCCGCTCACCCGCTATTTCCCTAATAACACACGTTGTTCGTTTTTATTTCTACACGTTTTTTTACTCACAAAGATTGTCAAGAAAGCGTGTTTGTCGTGTTCACGTCAAATTAAACTGATCACAAAACACAGATTTACTTTCTTTATTTCGTTTCCTCATCCAACCCCCATAAATCCCTGTGTGTCCTCCTGCAGCACTCCCGAAGGACAACAGGCAAGACAAAAAAGTCTGACGTGTTGTGTAAAAACTGCTATTTTTAGCATATTTTAGGTCCGACGTGTTGCTACCAGACGTACAGTGAGCACATGGCTCGTGAGATCTGCCCTGCGAGGAAGTCGTACAGTTTGAGCTGAAGCTGTGTTACGAGTGAAAAAGTCGCACAGTGTCCGCCCAGCTTATTATAATGTTCACTGTAATGCATCTTGATGTTCTTAACAAATAAATCAAATCAAAAATATTGGTCAATAATGCCAAATATGTAAATTTGTGTTTCAGTCATTTTTATACCGGCTTAAAAATACTTCATTAAGTCTACTAAGCAGGGGTGTAGAACGTTTTTATTAGGGCCAGCCCAATAATGATCTTGGACCAAAATAAAGGGGGCAGAAAGTCAAATAAAGGGGGCAGAAAGTCAAATAAATGGGGCAAAAGATGTTTTTCCAGACGCCAAGAAAAATTAAATGCCAAATCCACCCTGCAAAGTGTGTCACTGAGAGTTTAAAACAGAAATTATTATTGTGCAAATATCGGTGCACTCACCTTTAATACTAGTTATTACAATGCAGCAGTCGCTGGATTGGTGCAGTTCAAAGTGGAGTGCATCAAATAAAACAATATTAACATAAAGGTGAGACGTGTCATTACCCCCCCCCCCCCCCCCTGCCAACACCACCACCACAGCTGGAAAAATTCCTAGGGGAAACACTGTTTAACCGTTAGTCAAAGACAACACAAGTAAACACAAAATGCAGTTTTGAAATGATGGTTTTTATTATTTAGGGAGAGAACAAAATCCAAACCTACATTGCCCTGTGTGAAAAGTAATTGCCTCCTGAACCTAATAACTGGTTGGGATTCCCTTAGCAGCAATAACTGCAATCAGGCGTTTGCAATAACTTGCTACGAGTCTTTTACAGCGCTCTGGAGGAATTTTGGCCCACTCATCTATGCAGATTTGTTGTAATTCAGCTTTATTTGAGGGTTTTCTAGCATGAACCACCTTTTTAAGGTCATGCCATAGCATCTCAATAGGATTCAGGTCAGGACTTTGACTAGGCCCCTCCAAAGTCTTCATTTTGTTGCTCTTCAGCCTTTCAGAGGCGGATTTGCTGGTGTGTTTTGGGTCGTTGTCCTGCTGCAGCACCCAAGATGGCTTCAGCTTTAAGCCTGATTCGTCTGCGTCAGTGCGGAGACACGCAACGCCATTATCCGTCCTTGCGTAGGGCACGCAAGTACGTACGGAGTCGAGCCCACTTTTTTAAACATCCGTCGAACGAGACGGATTACGCAAGCTTGTTATTGGTCAGGACGCCGCTGTTGTTTACAGCGCCGCCATTGCAAAGAGAGTCGAGTTTATCAAGCGGCAGACACGGAGAAGCTTGAAGAATACCTCGCGAAAAAACTCTAAAAACATGAACGTTTAATTCCCCCGTGACTGGAGGAGTGAAAAGATGCACAGCAAGCGTTTTATTTGTGGACGGAAATGACAGGAAACATGGGTTTAGAGGTGGCGAGCGCATGAAGCGGTGGGAGAATGAGAGACAAATATGTCCGTGTTAAAAGTCTCTTATATACACAAAAACACAATATAAACACACGATCTTGGACCGATACATGACAGGATACCACAGAACAGCGCTACACCCTCTGTGGTCCTGCCGGGCAATTGCTTTGCAACACTCTCCAGGAGACGGAGAAGTATGAGAGCAAAACGCTTCTGTCAATCTGTGCGTGTCTGTCCCTTGCGGAGCTGACGGAGAAGCATAAACCAGCGTTAGCTTACCAACAGATGGCCGGACATTCTCCTTCAGGATGTTTTGGTAGACGGTAGAATTCATGGTTCCATTTATCACAGCAAGCCTTCCAGTTCCTGAAGCAGCAAAACAACCCCAGACCATCACACTACCACCACCATATTTTACTGTTGTTATGATGTTCTTTGTCTGAAATGCTGTGTTACTTCTACGCCAGATGTAACGAGACATTTGTCTTCCAAAAAGTTCAACTTTTGTCTCATCAGTCCACAAGGTATTTTCCCCAAAGTCTTGGCAATCATTGAGATGTTTCTGAGCTAAATTGAGACGAGCCCTGATGTTCTATTTGCTTAACAGTGGTTTGCGTCTTGGAAATCTGCCATGCAGGCCATGTTTGCCCAGTTTCTTTCTTATGGTGGAGTCGTGAACACTGACCTTAACTGAGGCAAGTGAGGCCTGCAGTTCTTTAGAAGTTGTCCTGGGGTCTTCTGTGACCTCTCGGATGAGTTGTCTCTGCGCTCTTGGGGTAATTTTGGTCGGCCGCCCACTCCTGGGAAGGTCCACCACTGTTCCATGTTGTTGCCATTTGTGGATAATGGCTCTCACTGTGGTTCGCTGGAGTCCCAAAGCTTTAGAAATGGCTTTAAAACCTTTACCAGACTGATAGATCTCAATGACTTTTGTTCTCATTAGTTATTGAATTTCTTTGGATCTTGGCATGATGTCTAGCTTTTGAGGTGCTTTTGGTCTACTTCTCTGTGTCAGGCAGCTCGTATTTAAGTGATTTCTTGATTGAAACAGGTGTGGCAGTAATCAGGCTTGGGGGTGGCTACAGAAATTGTACTCAGGTGTGAAACACCACAGTTGGGTTTTTAACAATGGGGGCAATTACTTTTTCACACAGGGCAATGTAGGTTTGGATTTAGTTCTCTCCCTAAATAAGAAAAACCATCATTTCAAAACTGCATTTTGTGTTTACTTGTGTTATCTTTGACTAACGGTTAAACGTGTTTGATGATCAGAAACATTTTGTGTGACAAACATGCAAAAGAATAAGAAATCAGGAAGGGGGCAAAAAGTTTTTCACACCACTGCCTAGCATGATGTTTCCATCACCTGAAGGAACAAAAATACACAACTTACCTGAAGTGACTGTAACAGTAGTGTGGTAAAAATCAATACTTTAGACACCGTTATGCTCATATTCTTGTGCAAATGAAACACAATCACAAGCGTCTCATTTCTTTCCACGAGCACTCCTCATCACTCATGCAGGTGTTTACACTGAATGACTCAGGCATGCAGAATGCATCAGTCAGTCTGACAAAAACAAGAGCTCGTGCAGCAGCCGGTCGTCAGCCTTGCTCATGAGGGGAATGACCTGCTACCGTGGATGCATTTAGCTTTTTGACTGTTTGGACGTGGACATTAATGAATTCTCTGACTGGTTACTATTAATCCCGCCCACATGGTGAGGGCTGTGATTTACAGCTGCTGTGTAACTGTTGGGCAACGTTATCACCATCTTGGATCTGTTTTAGTTTCAAACCTGAGACAGTTCAGACCTAGATGGGACATTTGTGTCTTAACGTTTTACAGTAAAAACATCCCAGCGATGGTAAGTCTATGGTAGTACGGGGTTAGAATTAGATTCAGTAAATGTCATAGACGTGTCCACGTCTATGTCCTGGACGTGTCCACGTCTATGTCCTGGACGTGTCCACGTCCTGAGGCATCCTCCCCAGGCATGCGTGGGTTTGGAGAGGACAGATGTACTCGTTTTCATCTCATCGGTTCCATAACTAACGTCTCCTCTTACTTCTGCAGGAATTATGTAATTTCAGCATTAACATTTAGAAAGTTGTAATCCCACATTAGGTGCACATTGTCCTGTTCGAAGTCAAGTTGTCAGCTTGTAGAATTTCTCTGTGTTCTTTTTCTTTGTTTCTAGAAAGATTACACCTTATTCTAGTCTGAAGGCTTATCAGAAAGACCCAGCATGTGTGTTCAACCACCATGGCACCAGTGACTCCAGGGTAAGTCCTCTGACCACTGACACATGTTTAGATACCGTAGAGTTCTCCAGAATAAAGATCCAACATCTCACCCCCAAATTCCACTACCTCCGCTCCGCTCCGACACGAACGCCGGAGCAAAATCGGTCCCGTTGTAGTCAATCAGAGCAATTCCACTACTGCGGCCGTGCTCCGGCCGTGCTTCGGCAGTGCGGCGCCGTGCGCCGCCCTCTGTTCCGGCGTCCGGCAAAAATAGAATCGATCCTATTTTCGCCGGACGCCAGAGCACCTCCGCAGTAAATGGACAGAAATCACAACCGCCCAACAGGAAAAGGAGCAAGCACAATTTCCGTTTTTCACAATAAATCGATAAACAAAAGGCGTTTTTTGTTTCATATGCACAGGTTTAACAACTTTTAACAACTATCAATGGCGGCTGAACTTTAAATGCACAAAAGTAAGCCATAAATACAGTTTCTACTATCAAAGTAGTCACACTTTGTTGATCCAAACACTGCTGATCTCTCAACACAAATGATGGGCAGATTAAACAGTTCATGCCGATGCTTCTCCCACACGACGGGTGTTTGGATCTAACTTCCGCGTTTATTGCTCGGACTGTATCGCAAGATGTCGAAAATCCCACGCATGCTCGTTTGCCCACCTCAGGTCTCCGCACCGGAGCGGAGCCGTTGTAGAGCGTGTAGCAGTAAAAATTGAGTTCGGAAGCGAGCGGCTGCGGAAGGCGGGGGCGGACCGGACCGGAGGTAGTGGAATTTGGGGGTTAGTCAATCAACAATCAATCAACCAATCAATGGGAAGGTGGGGGGGGGGGGGCTGGGATCCTGTTTTCCCCAGCGAGAGCAGCCATCTACGGCGCCCAGCCGCTGTGCAGTCACAGGTGGGAGGGAGGTCTTAGGAGAAGCGCAGAGCACATTGACTCCTGCAGGTTGATGACCTCGTCAGGCTGAAGTCCACCAATCCGAAGGCGGGGGGGGGGGGGGGGGGGGGGGGGTTGGTAGGTCGGGTTTTCACAGCATCTGTCTGCATTCCTTCGTGGGAGTTTGTAGCCTCTCAAGGCTGCTAGGGTGTCAGATTCAGATAGCAAGACTTTGTTTGGGTCAGGCTGAGATAATTTTTCTCTCTGCCTTCAGTCTTTAAACTGATCATTTCCAGTCCTTCAGTGAAGCCAATTTTGGGTTTTTAAACCTGTCCATCCCGTCCGGTGACCCTCTCCAAGATGACATCCATTTTGAGCACTAATACCGGTATCGCAGCTAGAACATTGTCCAGCTTACGATTCACCTCGAGTAACGTCCCAGTCTGTGAAGTCTCCACACGGACGGTGCTTTCCGTGGGTGCGGGTCACCCTCCAATCGCTCCCGTCTTCCCAAATTTCCAGAAAACCAGATATCCTCCCACTCCAATCAGGAGAAATCCAGTGATCATCAGACCAAACATCCACACGTCTTCGACATCCTCAATGGACAGCTGGGAGAGGCATATGATCTTCCACTCCTTCCAGGAATCCAGCATATACCTCACCGGGTGTGTCCCCTGTGGACATGTGGGAGCCCCCTGCTCCGTTCTCATTGTTGAAAAAATCGTATCAATCGCATTGAATGACCAGTTTATCAAATCCATGCTCTGTGGGCAGACAGGACAAAGCGCCTTGGGAAAAAAAGATAAGGGAGTGAAAAGAGAAGCGTCTGTAATCTGCGAGTGCCAGGAAGAATGACTTTATTAATTTTTACACCAAATGCAATTTAACACAGTTTTAAACTAATTATTTAACAGTAATAATATTGATAGAACAATCCCAGGAATATCCTTGGAATAGTAAAGAGGAAAGGACTGGAACCATGGGACAGCAGCTTCAGCACAGGCAGAAAGAGGCTATGGCGAAGGACTTGTGTTTAGAGGAGGGTCCGGACCAGGACTGGAAAAGCTCCAGATCACGCATGTCCAACTGAAGGCCAGGGGCCATATGTGGCACACTGAGGGATGTTGTGAGGCCCCCCACCTGTATTCTTTACAGTGCCTTCCATAAGTAATGGTATCTCCTGAACTTTTACACATTTTGACACAAACTTCTGTGACCGACCAACACAAAGTTGCACATCAATGTGAAGTGGAATGAAACTGATACATTTAAAGGGACTTTACAGAGTCTTGAATTTTTATGCTCGTGATTGCCCCCTCAGGCCAAAAGCGTAACGGCAGCTTCAATAGTAGGCTCGTGCACGAGGCGCGCATGCTGTACGTGCACACTCCGTAACGAAAATAACAGCTGAGACAGTCCTGTGTGTGTGTGTGTGTGTGTGTGTGTGTGTGTGTGTGTGTGTGTGTGTGTGTGTGTGTGTGTGTGTGTGTGTGTGTGTGTGTTTGTGGCGCGGAGGATAGAGGACAGGAGAACATGCAGCTAATTAATTAAATAATTTGGTTCTGTACCTTTCTCTTCAGCACAGCCGACAAAGGTTTATGATGGGTCAGTCCTCCTGCATGCTCAGATCATTCCCTTCCCTTGCTTGAAAAATTGTTCCAAAATGAAAGTTGAACCCACATCTTTTTTATCTGTGAATTCAATGCCATTCGGCGAGTCTCAAATAAAAATGTGGGCATCTTACTGTAAAAAAAATATACCATTAATGTAAAAGAAACTCTAAATAAACTATGTTCACATCCAGAGTCAAACCCGAGTCTTCCACACAAGAGTCCGTTGTCTTATCAGGTGAGCTATACCACCAGTTATGTCTTTTGTATCACAACGTTCTAAAGAATGGTTCGGAGCGAAAATGGCTATTTTGTTGCTAATTTGCAGGAAATATCTAGAAGAAAGTTCTACAGAAAGTAGCTAAGGGTCCTCAGAAATGTAGCTAGCTTTGTCACTAGGCGTTAGGAACAGCGACAAAGTGGCACTGCCTCTCTCTCTGCTGCTAAAGCTACGGATAGCAACTGCTACGGGCGATGCCTGAGTGTGAACGCGCATGAAGCAGCCTGCTCGACCCGAGCATCTCTCTTTTTCTGTGATTTTACAGAAAAACAGGCAATCACAGTAAAAATGCCAGGGCTCATTCTACAGGACCAGGGCGTTGCAGGAGAATGTATGAAGAAGACATTTATTATTTCTATACGTGTTTTGGCTGTCAAACTTCCATAACCCCCTTTAAGATAATAAAAGCCTTTCAAACGTCTTCCATGGTAGATGTTTGAAATGATTATCCAACTGCAATCCTACTTTTTTATTTCACCAGTTCAATTAAACTAGAGAAGTTTTTTGTCTTTCCATTTTTTTCAACACTGACAAACCAAAATAAAAGAAGAATAACAACTATTACAGACTATTTTTAAATGTAAGGATTGCAAAGAAAAATGTTGGTTAATAGATCATTACTCCAGTGACGTTTAGATACCCCAAAGTAAGACCTAGTCCACACGTAGCCGGGGTTTTTTAAAAAACGAATATCCGCCCCTCCAAAAACTTGCATCCACACCACCTCGTTTAAAAAAAAAAACTGTCCACACGTACCCGGATAAATACGTTGTTAAGGACATGCCAGACCTGTAGGCGGCAGTACTTCCCCGTTCTTAACCTCGTCCTTCGTCTGTGGTCTTCTGCAAGGAGCAGTAATTCCGCTTGCAAAAACAAACAAGCAAAAAGTGCTTGGACAATTGATAAAGCGAGCACAGCTCTGAGGGCATCCATGCTGTCGGCTAGTGTAAACACAGGTCGCACACGTGATGTCAGCATTTTTTGTCGCGGAAAGTGACGTTGTGGACCTTAAAACTCCGGTTTTGTCTGTCCACACGTAGACACCCAAAACGGAGAAAACGCAGATCTTCACTTTGGCCGGAGTTTTTAAAAAGATCCGTTTTCGTGTGAAAAAACTCAGTTTTCGTGTGGATGACAGGCCAAAACGTAGAAAAATATCTACGTTTTGGCAGATCCCCGGCTACGTGTGGACAGGGCCTAAGGTAATAAAGTATTTGTACTTCAGTACTTGACATCTTTAGTCCCACTCGAAGGAGGCCCAGGAACAGAATATCTTCTCAGGCCTGAGAAAGCCTTAGGGAGATCCAGGAGGAGCTGGAGAGTGTGTCTAGAGAGAGAGAGATGTATGGGTCTCCCTCCTGGACCACTTACTTTGTCTTCATCATCCTCTGATCTGGGTCCAGGTTGTGATGGACAGGACAGCACCTACCCCAGCACCCCAAGGTACAGATACCTTCAACCAGCTCCTTTGGTGGGACCCAAAGACCCTCCTGGACCAGCCTAAAGACATAATCCCTCCCGGGTTGACCCAGGGTCTCCTGCCAGCTGGACATGCCTAAAAGACCTTGGTGAAAAAAAGTTACACATTCTCTAATAATTTCTCATTAATTTTATTGGCCTTTTCATAATATTGTACAGATGGAAATACTCCAGTAATCCAATACGATAATACTGATTCTGTTTTTTAAAACGATGAGCTGCCAGACTCCACGGAGATGTCTGCAGAGCATCGTCGCCGTGTACAGCCAGCTGACTGCACAAGTGAACTGTCGTTAGGCAGGTATAACAATGCCAGTTAACCTGTTTGGGAGTTGTGTCTGAGCCAATCAGCAACAAGCCTGTCACCTTAATGCTTTTAAATGGATAAACTTGAGTGACACCAAAAGTTTCCTCATGATTCTTCCAAAAACAGCATCTGACTTTTTTAGAGAGCTGGGTCAGAATGTAAAAACTGTTTTACTCAAATTACAAAACAGAAACAACCTCCCATAACTCCAAAAGCCAAATTAGTGTGACCGTTCTAGAAAGACTCATGAGTAGGGAGGGGTACCTTTGACATTTGAATCGATTCGGTACTAATTCCCAGTACCTAAGAATCGATACCGGTACTTAACGGTACCAATTTTCGATACTTTTGAGTGTTTAATATTTTTAATTCTCTTTTATAATTAAATACATATTTTTTTTCAATATATAACCATATTTGATAAATATCACGATAAATAACATGCAACTGTTTGTATTTTAACATCGTTCTTGTAGTTTTATAAGCTGATAATTAAACTGAAGCAAATATCTTTACTGTGAACTAAATTTACTGTGTATCTTCATTCCTTTTACCGTCTTTTTTCATTAGATTTTTCCTACTGGGAAGTTAGAATTTCCGAGGAGAAAGCGAACGCACCATTAGCTGATAACAATGGCGGCAATGGAAGCTAACATATCAAGCTAACATTATCTTGAACATTTTATTTACCTACTGGAGCAGATTAAGATGAGGATGTCTCACTTAGATCGTTGTCGCTGGTTTCATCATCACCCAGTTACCCGTCACATTTAGTGAAGTGGACCCAAGCTTTAGCGTGAGTTCTTTCTACCATGCTGCTCTGTTTACAACTGGCTCGCAGCGACCGACGTAACGCTCTTGCGCATGCGCAGCTGTCTAGGCAAGTTCTCGTTATGAAGGACGGGTACCGAAACGAGGCACCGTTTCAAATGACGTGAATCAGTGCTCGGTCGGTACTATGGAATTCGGTCGGTACCTTAAAAAGTACCAAATTCGGTACCCATTGCTACTCATGAGGCTTGACTAAATGAGGATTTTACAAAAGCAACTACAAGGAGGTATGCAAGACGCGAATGGAGAGCAAGATCAATCCAATAAGACACGTCTGGTGAAGTCAAACTGAACTCGTTCCAGTCCAGCTTCCTCCTCTGCTGCCCTAGACGAACAAACCTCTGAGTCGACCCTCCCTTGACTCACAGCTGCCCTGTCACACCTCAACCGTTTTATCTTCTACTCATGGATCCTGCTGCTGCTGGATCGTTGTTCTTAACTAAATCAAGGGATGGTGGTGCTCCTCTCCCCTCCCCGATCACATGATCCCTCTGACCACCACCTACAGGCAAGGGGGGATTAAGTGTCTTGCTCAAGGACAGAATGACTACAACAGCCAGAGTGGGACTTGTTCCAACAACCTTCCAGTTATGAGATGAGCACCTAACTCCTATCCCACCGTTGTCCCGTTTTTTCACTGTTAGGGAAAAACTTGGGTCCACCATAACTCATTTTCAGCAAAAACCTGCATGACAAAGCCCATTCATAGGCATGCAGTAGGTGACAGTGGTTTCACAAATTGTCTGCGTCTTTGACGAAGAACATTCCTTGGATGGGGAATAGCTAGGTGGTGGTAGACAACCATTAGCATCATCCTCTTCCACACAGAGCAGCAGCCGAACTTGCAAAAACAAGCTAGTGAGTGTAAACAGGTCACAGATCTTTTTTATCGCTGGCAGTGACTTCATGAAACTTGAAACCTGGTTATTTACATCCACAAGTAAACGCTGACAATGGGGAATTCACAAAATTCCACTTTGTTTGGAGTTTTTGAAAGGATTGTTCATGGTGGCATTTACCTTCACTTTAGTGTGGATGACGTCAACCCACAGAAAATATGTGTGAACAGGGTCTAAATGCACTGAGCTGCTAACGTGACTGGCTGATTAGATATCGGCGGACCTGATAGGTGTCTGGTGTTGATGCGTGTTCTTCATGGAACCACAGAGCTCTTCATCCTGACTTGGAAGCAGAAACAGACAGTCTGGTATTTTCACGTCATTATAGATTAAACCTTTTAAAATTATGGCATTACTGGATTTTATATTTCATGACAGCATGTAAAAAGTTTCCTAAAGTGCTTCCAGAGCTTTTCTATGCTCAAACCTGAATGCCTTTCCTAGCACAATAAAGACCTGCCTGATCATCTGTTTGGTTTTGGTAGATTTCCAAAGACATCCTCAGCCCGGTCCACAGTTTGTCCTCATCTGGCCACATCCCTCAACACAGTCTACAGGGATCAGTGTCTACACCCAGGGTCACCCCACCCTTTTCCTCATCCCGGATAGCCTGTAGTGAGGGAGGGACTCGTGGAGACAACAGAGTGGTGGAACCAGGCAGCCCCACACTACCAAGTGAGCACCTGCCAGGGTTTGGAAGATCCAGAGCTTCCCGAACCAGCACTAATTCCATCCGGCAGAGAAAAGACGTAAAACCTGGTGAGGAACCTTAAATCTGGTTTTTGACTAGAGCACATACATGCCTTGTTTTGCAGAAGATAACTTCAGTATATTTAGTCAACCCAAAAAAGTGTGTTCACATTACGACTGAATCAGCGATGATGCAACCGCACCAAAGAGCTCTGACTACGGAAAACGGATTTAAGAACATGAAATGAATGAAACCAGGGTCATTTCTCAATATACTACTAAAGTACCATTCCATGCTCACTCACACTTCCCAGATATGCTCCTGCTCCGCCCACTGTATTGAAGATGCATTAATGCATCCTTCTGTGGACTCTGGATAGCTAGCCCATAATGCTTCATGTCCTAAACAGTTATACTCCAAACGGCAGAGTGGAAACAAAAAACTGTAGTTTTTTTATGTCACAAATACAAATAAAGAAACATTAAGTTTGGTACTGTAAATAGTTGTGTGTAACCTGTAAAATTTGCTGTGTATTGGATTTTTTCCCACAGACTCTTCATGAACTCAAAACGCTAATTAGGTAACCCACTATCAAAATAAAAGCAGCTTTGCCTTAAGCAACGCTGTTTTAATGAAAAGTAAACTTTTTTCTTATTTTAACAGCGGGAAATGCGGGTCTGTTATCAATTTTGATCAAAAGTAGACCAAATTATTATACAAATAATTGGTATTTGTTTTTATTTTGTTATTTAAAGACCAAGTCACCCCCAAATCAAAGAATTAATCAGAGGATGAGTCTGGCAGGCCAGGCTAGTTCCCTGGCCAGCTGGCATAGTCCCTTCAATGTGTCCTGGGTCGTTCTTTAGGTCTTCTTATGTTGGACTTGTCCAGAAAACTTCACCAGGGAGGTGTCCAGGAGGCATCCTAACTAGAAGCCTGATGCCCGATGCTTGTTTGTCTTGTGTTTGTTTTTTCTGTCAGCTGTAAAAGCTCAAAGATTCCACTGCCCACATATGTTTATAAATATGTTTTACACTTAACAGTGGCTGTTCTGTTTACTGCAAATTTTTCAGTAAATACATTTTCCGAACATAACCAAATAACTATTAAATTTCAGTGGTGAAATCTAACTGCAAAAAGCCAAAAACTAGCAAAGTCAGGAGATGTAAAAATGCAGAGCTGTAAGTCCTTTAATAACCCAGATGTTAAGTAAATCCTGTCACCTCAACCTGAATAAAACTAGTAAAATGTTATTTATTTTCTCTCTTTGGTGTTTGCAGAGGCAGATACTGGCAGCACCACAATGATGTTGCATGGAGATGGAGGGCCACGGTACTCTGAGTGGAACGTAGGAGCAAGTCACGTCAGGATCTCCTCCTCTCGGTGTAGCGCTCCGCCCATCCTTACCTCAGATGTTTCCATTTCTGGGGTTCCTGGGATCCCACGTGGTCTAAAACAATACAAAGTCTCCATCAAACCCTTAGTTGGTCATGGGAAAGGCACAGAACGCCAAACCCAGTCTCTTCACAGGTGAACTTTCTGCTTCTCTTTATAAATTATGATACAAACACAAAAAACAAACAAACCCAAAAAGAAAAAACAACCCAAAACGAGGTCCTGAAATTTTCTAAATCAGTTCATCTAGTGACACATTTTCCTCTCTTCAAGAAAGATCAATCAATCAAGCTTTATTTACAAGGTTCAGACTAGTTCACAGGTAGGTTTAGTGTTAGGGTGGACTAACCCTAACCCTGCCCGATCAACAGGTAGTGTTAGGGTGGTCTAACCCTAAAACTACCTGATCTGCAGGTAGGGTTAGGGCAGACTATAGACTGGTCAATAGGTCAGATTAGGGTGGACTCTAGACTGGTCCACGGATAGGGTTGGGGTTAGGGTGGACTCTAGACTGGTCCACGGATAGGGTTGGGGTTAGGGTGGACTCTAGACTGGTCCACGGATAGGGTTGGGGTTAGGGTGGACTCTAGACTGGTCCACGGATAGGGTTGGGGTTAGGGTGGACTCTAGACTGGTTCACGGATAGGGTTAGGGTGGACTCTAGACTGGTCCACAGGTAGGGTTAGGGTGGACTCTAGACTGGTCCACAGGTAGGGTTAGGGTGGACTCTAGACTGGTCCACAGATAGGGTTGGGGTTTGGGTGGATTATAGACTGGCCCACAGGTAGGGTTAGGGTGGACTCTAGACTGGTCCACGGATAGGGTTGGGGTTAGGGTGGGCTCTAGACTGATCCACAGGTAGGGTTAGGGTGGACTCTAGACTGATCCACAGGTAGGGTTAGGGTGGACTCTAGACTGGTCCACAGGTAGGGTTAGGGTGGACTGTAGACTGGTCCACAGGTCGGGTTAGGGTGGATTCTAGACTGGTCCACGGATAGGGTTGGGGTTAGGGTGGACTCTAGACTGGTCCACAGGTAGGGTTAGGGTGGACTGTAGACTGGTCCACAGGTAGGGTTAGGGTGGACTCTAGACTGATCCACAGGTAGGGTTAGGGTGGACTCTAGACTGGTCCACGGATAGGGTTGGGGTTAGGGTGGATTCTAGACTGGTCCACGGATAGGGTTGGGGTTAGGGTGGACTCTAGACTGGTCCACAGGTAGGGTTAGGGTGGACTGTAGACTGGTCCACAGGTAGGGTTAGGGTGGACTCTAGACTGATCCACAGGTAGGGTTAGGGTGGACTCTAGACTGATCCACAGGTAGGGTTAGGGTGGACTCTAGACTGGTCCACAGGTAGGGTTAGGGTGGACTGTAGACTGGTCCACAGGTAGGGTTAGGGTGGATTCTAGACTGGTCCACGGATAGGGTTGGGGTTAGGGTGGACTCTAGACTGGTCCACAGGTAGGGTTAGGGTGGACTGTAGACTGGTCCACAGGTAGGGTTAGGGTGGACTCTAGACTGATCCACAGGTAGGGTTAGGGTGGACTCTAGACTGGTCCACGGATAGGGTTGGGGTTAGGGTGGATTCTAGACTGGTCCACGGATAGGGTTGGGGTTAGGGTGGACTCTAGACTGGTCCACAGGTAGGGTTAGGGTGGACTGTAGACTGGTCCACAGGTAGGGTTAGGGTGGACTCTAGACTGATCCACAGGTAGGGTTAGGGTGGACTGTAGACTGGTCCACAGGTAGGGTTAGGGTGGACTCTAGACTGATCCACAGGTAGGGTTAGGGTGGACTCTAGACTGGTCCACGGATAGGGTTGGGGTTAGGGTGGATTCTAGACTGGTCCATGGATAGGGTTGGGGTTAGGGTGGACTCTAGACTGGTCCACAGGTAGGGTTAGGGTGGACTGTAGACTGGTCCACAGGTAGGGTTAGGGTGGACTCTAGACTGATCCACAGGTAGGGTTAGGGTGGACTGTAGACTGGTCCACAGGTAGGGTTAGGGTGGACTCTAGACTGGTCCACGGATAGGGTTAGTTTGCTGTTGATGCTATGACACTTATATGGTTCAATCTTAGCTTTTGTTTTATGGATGAACACTCACACATTGTTGATGACCATCAAAGGCATAGAGAAATTGATTTATTTAGGAGGCTTTGTGATGGTACCACTGTTGCCTCACAGCCAGAAGGTCATAGGTTCAAATTCCAGCTGCAGCCTTTCTGAATGCAGTCAGCATGTTCTCCCCTTTCTTGGACTGGATTTCTCTTGGATCTCCGGTTTTCTCCCACAAACCAAAGCCTTGCGTATTAGGTTAAATGGAGACTTAGCTTACTTGTAAATTTTCAGGCCACTTAATTTAGCCTGGATAGTAAATGTATTCCAGTTCATTAAATACAAAATATTCTTTAATGCATTTTTTATTTGGCAAAGATCCCAATAATCTTGTTCAAAACCAGTCCTGTTGCCAGATACTGATTGGGAAACTGGTCTTCCACCTGTAATTTCCTCTACTCTCCCCCATACAGGAGGAAGAGTATGAAACATGAAGATGCTGAACTTCTTGGAATTACAAGCTCATCCCTTTCACCTCACAGAGTCAGTGAGATTAGAAAGTTTGATGGACAGATGATTGGAGGTGCAGGTCCATTGTCTCCAGAGAGGATGACTCCCATTCGCTGCTACCCACGACAGGACAGCAATGTGTTTCAAATGGAGAACACAAACAGAAGCAGAGGTAGCCGCTCGTCATCCTCATCATCATCAGTATTTATGGATGGTCCTTTGGTGCAACCTGAGACACAAGTCCTAACCCAGATGACAGGAAGTATCATCCAAAGGTAAGCTCTCATTCATATTTTGCAGTTTAAGCTGCCTAATTAACCATCATTTTCTATTTAATCAAAGGAACTACTCTCCAACTTAGTCTGTTTATAGATTCAAACATAGCCAATAAGTCAATTGGAAGTTGGTAAATTGAACTGGAAATGCCTTCTCCGGGTCAGGGATGAGGTCCTGCCTCAAGTGGAGGAGTTTAAATATCTCGGGGTCTTGTTCACGAGTGAGGGAAAGCTGGAGCGTGAGATTGATTGGCGGATTGGTGCTGCATCTGCAGTGATGCAAGCGTTGTACCGATCTCTTGTGGTGAAGAGAGAGCTGAGCTGGAAGGTAAAGCTCTCGATGTACCGGTCAATCTACATTCCTACCCTCACCTTTGGTCACGAGCTTTAGGCAGTGACCGAAAGAACGAGATTGCAGATGCAAGCGGCTGAAATTAGTTTTCTCTGCAGGGTGGCTGGGCTCTCCCTTAACTCATTTACTGCCATTGACGACTTAATTCGTCACTTGCATTGCATTGTACACCATTCCAAAAATGATGAATATTTACTGACAAACAAAGATGTTTTCTTTATTTTTTTAGTGAGAGAATGAACGCAATGGAAGAGCAGATAGCCAGCCTAGCAGGGCTGGTGCACCATGCCCTCTCTGAGAAATCCCACATCCTTCAAGATAAACTCAGGTCTGTAACATCTGCAATGGCTTCCAGTACTGTAGTTAATCAGTGGACAAAGTCTTTCATTTAAACCTAAACTTTCTTTTTTATTATAAAGTAAATAAAGTTTTATAGATTATGGATTATGTCTGTATAAATGTCTATATAAATTGTGTGTGTGTGTGTGTGTGTGTGTGTGTGTGTGTGTGTGTGTGTCCATGTGCATTTTTAGGCATCCTTCTGAAAACAACCAACTGGGTGAGAATTTCTTTTATTTGCCTCATCACCAGTAAAAAAACAACTATTTTCTATTTTGAACTGCGAACAGCCTTGAGTCCCGTTGTTTGATTCCAGAAGCAGAGACTCAGAAGCCCACTGCTCTGGTTGGTAGTTCCAGTCCGACGCCCCCAGCCCCTCCATCTGACCGTGAGTTGTGGCAGAGTTTGGTGACTGCAAAGAGAAATGTGTTTGAACTCCGACTACAACTCAGTCAACTCAAGTGTTTACAGGTACTGACCTACAAATTAAAGTTACACACAGATTTGTACATTTTAAGAACAAGTAATGAATATTAGGGATATCTTTATTAGAAAATGACTATTTAATCAAAGTTTTTATCTTAATTCCTTTAGTAAAAAATTTTTTAACTCTAAAATGTATTTTTTTATCAAAGCAACAAATAATAAGTGTATTATTATCTGTCGTATATGGTTGAAGTTTGATAACATGACACGGACATCATATGTGAAAAGTCTCTTCATAGAAATGTTTGGAGGTCCTTCACTGAGAAGTTATTATTCCTGATTATAATCAGTCACTTTTCTTTTTTTTCATGCAGGCTGAACATGAAAATAGTCTCCTACACCTACCTCCTGCATTAGCCTCTGATAGAAAATAGATGGTGAAACTCTAGGATTAGAAAAGCCTGCCAGATCTACGTCACACTGTCACTTAACCGTCTCAGGCTCAAAATAAGTTTTCATAAAAGGACAAACAATTAAGTGCTTCAGGGGTACTTCTGAGTTAAAAATGCTCATGAAATACGTATGTGGAGTAGCCAGGTAGGTTGGTATTTTTTTTATTCATGTCTTTTTTATTTTAGAAAAATAGGCATGACAAGTACATTTCAAAACACTGTGAATTTTCTCAAGCTTTACCCCAAGAACAAACCCCAGACAGCCAACCCCGAGAAGGAAAAGAAGAAAAAACGAGAGAAAAAAAGGGAGGGGGGGGGGGGGGGGGTTGGGGGGCTTACCCGGAAACAATAGTTGTGGATTTCTCGACGAATGTCGAAAAAGGTTGCCAAGCTTTATGGAATTTGTTTACAGAACCACGGACAGTGTATATCCCGCATGTGACGTACAGGGTCACGCATTCAGCGTCAGACGGAAGACACGTCAAACTGATGAAATTTCTCTTTCAGGAGCTTTAGCTTTGATGTGACCTGCTTTTTGTCCCGCTTGACGCCCCACTCAGCCAGTGTTTTCACCACTCTGTCGAACAGTCCCATAAAAAGGCGACTAATCTGTTCGTCCGCTCACACGGCCAAAAGCTCCATGGTCTCCGCGTCCGTCCAGTTTGCCATGTTGTAGGTGGTTGAAAGATACTAGTTGATAGATAATTTTTCATTTATCCCATATTACCTTAAAGGACGACACACAGTCGCTCCAAAATGCAAGCCTGATAGCATGATGGGGGAAGTTCCCCAGACTCCAAAGACCCAGTAAATAAAACACTTAAAAGGGGGAAAGATCATCTGAAAATTTCTTTAAAAAGTCAGTTGAAAACCCGTCCGGGCCAGGTGATTTCCCTGACTGCATGGATGATAAAGCTGCTTTAATTTCCTCTTCGGCGATGGGTGCTTCAAGATTCTGTCTAGTTTCTGGGAGAAGAGAAGGCATACCCACAGAGTTAAAAAACCTCTCCATATCGCTCAAACAGGTAGTAGAATCTGATGTATTTAGTTTTGAGTAAAAAGCTCTAAATTTGTCATTGATTGCTGTCCGTTCAGATGCAATGTCCCCGCTGTCTGTCCTAATGCCCCGTATAGATTTTTTGGCCCTTGCACCGCACAGCTGATTGGCCAGAATTTTACCGGTCTTCTCACCATGCTCATAAAAATTGCTCTTACTTCTGATCGAACAGCCTTTGACCTGGCAGGAAGAAAGAATATTGAATTCAGTCTGTAGCTTTAATCGTTCTTCATACAATGCAGGAGATGGTGAGTGTGCATGTAGTCTATCCAAATTAAGAATTTGGTCTGAAATATTCTTCTGTCTCTTTTCCACAGCTCTCCATTTAAATGCAGCAAAAGAAATTATTTCGCCCCTGAGGAAGGCCTTCAATGCTTCCCAGATTGTTTGACAAGGCATGCCTGGGGTCCTATTTTCAATCAAAAAGGTTTTAATTTTAGAGGAAATATCTGATACAATTATAAAGCATTCATTTTTATTTGATATAATATTTTAGGCAACAAAGGGAATGTTATGTTCAACAAGAATGGTGGTGCCCCTGGCCTTTACTTTGAAATTAGAATGAAATGACTGCCCCGACCAGCATTTCCCCAAATACCGCTGATCTGAATCTCGCAAATGAGTTTCTTGTAAAAACACTATCCCAGACCTGAGTTGTTTAAGGCGAGAAAAGACTCTTTTCCGTTTAACCGGGTGGTTCAGTCCTTTTACATTCCAACTGACATGGTTAAGATTGCTGTTCATCTAGAGTGATCCTTTAATCATAGTACCTAGAGTACCCCCGAGTGACAGGAGGGAAGAGGAAGGAAGGGAAGGAAAATAACATACATAAAGAAAATAAAATACATTTTAAGAAGAAAAAAGCAGTCTCAACGAACCCCCCCCCCCCCCCCCCCCCAAAAAAAAAAAACCCTGAAAACAACACAGGTTGCAAAACAAAAGAAACCACTGTAATTCTCCTACTACTCTAGCCTAGTGAACTAGACCAAATTCTTGCTTTGCAAAGTTTGGTCTAGGCATGCTCCATTGGAATCTCCGCAGTTCCTACTAAGACTCTGGCTGGCCAATCACAGCTCTCTAGAGGGGTTTCAAACACATAAAGAGCTGTGATTGGTCCATAATGGTGGGCCAATCATAGTGCTCTATCTGCTTAGTGAACAAATCACAGAGCTTTATCTGCTTTGTGGGCCAATCAGGGCACTCTATATGCCTGGTGGGTGGGATGATGCAACAGAGTGAAACAAGAGTATGTCACATTCATTGTCCAGTGGAATGCGGAGATCATTTGAAAGACAACGGTAGAACCCGCCCCACAACCGAGAGCCGTCAATGGAGCGTGGCCAGACTAAATAATACATTTATTTAGTCTGGCTTGCCAGGCTACTACTACTCATCATCAGCATACCAAAAATATACTCCCAAACTAAACCAGCTTTTCCCTGCGTCACAACAAATAAACAACTATTCTTCACCCAGCTGAAAATTGAGGGCTAAATAGAGCGTCAAACGTACAACAAGATATTTTATCTTATAATAAACTGCCAACAAATACAAGGAAACAAAACAGCGCACCGGTCCTTTCTCAACAGGTACTGATTATTAAAATTTGTATGCAATTTTAATCGGACTGTGACTGTTGGAAGTCCAAGTATTACCTGAGAAGTTCAGAAGGTCCAGGCCGGATCACGGTGATGCACTCACCATGTTCCCCCTCCATAGACCGAAGGAGTTCGGCAGCTGCGGAAACGGACCGCAACCACTGTCTCTCCCCATCCGAGAGGGTGACACGCAGCTTCGCAGGGAAGAGAAGAGACGGCCGCAGTCCTTTGGTGTAGACTTCAGCCATAACTTTCTTATACTCAGCCCGCTTCTTCAGGGCATCAGCGCTGTAATCCTCGTAGAAACGAAGCTTGTGCCCCCAGTAAACCACCGTGCCGCACTTCCGTGCCTCCCTCAACACCAAGTCCTTAATTTGGAAACGATGAAAACGAATAATCACCGGGAGCGGGCGCCCCGCTGGACTGGGTTTTGGGGCAAGGCTGCGGTGGGCTCTATCCAGCTCAGGCGGAGATGATAGGATCTGGTAGCCAAAAACCTCCACAAGAAGCCTGGAAAGAAACGCTGTTGGCTGCGGACCTTCCAGGAACTCGGGTAAGCCAACCACTCATAGATTCATCCTCCTGCTTCTCCCCTCGAGGTTGGAAAGTTTGGACTTCAGCATTGCGTTGTCTTCCTGTAGAGTTGCACACACTGTTTCGAGTTGCTCTAAGCGTTGGCTAACTTCCTCGGCATTTGATTCGAGGTCCTTGATGCGTTGCCCGTGTCCTAAGACATCGGTTTGAATTTTGGGGCGACGGTGGCACAGGAGTTAAGTGCTCGCCCCGCTCAGTCTGTCGCTGTCGTTGTGTCCTTGGGCAAGACACTTAACCCACGTTGCCTGCTGGTGGTAGTCGGAGGGACCGGTGGCGCCAGTGCTCGGCAACCTCGCCTCTGTCAGTGTGCCCCAGGGCAGCTGTAGCTACATTGTAGCTCATCACCACCAGTGTGTGAATGTGTGTGTGAATGGGCGAATGACTGATTGTGTTGTAAAGTGCCTTGGGGGGTTCCAGGACTCTAGAAGGCGCTATATCAAATACAGGCCATTTACCATTTTACCATTTACCATTTGTCCAGTTTGAGGTCCAAATGGTCAAACGAGGATTTGAAGTCAGTACCAATCTTCATTCGGAGTTTATCAAGCATTTCTGAGACTTGCGCTGCGGCCAATGGCATGCTAGCTCCGTTAGCTGCATTAGCCCCTGCCGAGGAGCTTTCTGCTACAGAGTCCTTTTTGCTGCCTTTAGTCGATTTAGACATGACTTCCAAGCTCGTGATGTTGTTCCTGATGCTAATGCCCAAGTACCAATGGGGTTACAGATTGAGGAGAGGTGAAGAGAGTAATAAAAACAGATATTCCTGTGGGAGCCAGCGAACTGCACACCCACGCCATCGCTTGCCAACCGGAAGTCCGGTAGGTAGGTTTTAACTGACGCAAATCTGCAACGCCTGCCTCCAGAGGGTTAACATTCATGGACTCACCCATCTTGACTCGCGACAGGAAAGGCTGTTGTTGGTTTAGCTTCCAGGAAGCAGCAGAGAATGTCTTGGCTAGTAGAAGCTAACTGTTAGCATTAGCAACTCCACCACACAGGAGAACCCCAGACTTGTATTATGTGTGGAGCTGAAACATGAATGTGGTAGAGCTGTTTTGCTGTTAAACAATCAGAAGCGAGACGGCCAGATATCAGGAAATAAGAGTCCAAATCCTGCCGTCCGAAGCTCTCCTCTGATCTCTTCCAACTTCCTGAAGCTGAACTCTGACAAAAACTGAAGTGCTTCACACGGGCACAAAATCAGCACTAGGGAAAGCTGCAAAGTTCTCTTAGAAAACACTACTGCCACCTGCCTAGATCAGATTAAGAGCCTTGGTGTACTTCGGGACAGCACCCTGTCCTACCAGTCTCACTTCAGCTTCCATCTCTGTCTAATCACTCCATCATGATAGTAAGCAGTTTGGTCTCTTCTCGCCTAGACTACTGTAACTCACTCCTCTTTGGTCTGCAACAGAAGTCTCTACAAACTACCGATTAAATTCAGGGTTGACTACAAAATTTTACTCCTCATAAGGCCATTCCCAACCTTGTCCCCTCATATCTATCTCCACCCTCCCACATGCTCAGATCCACAGCTTCCATCAACCTGCACACCCCCTGCTCTTCCTGTCACCATGGGAAGTCGAGCATGCAGCAGATCTGCCCGCTCCCTTTGGAGTTCATTACCAGCTGAACTCAGGAAAACCGCTACCCTGCACCGATTGAAGACTGAACTAAAAACTCACCTGATCAAGAGAGTTTGAAATGGCATAACAGCATGAGGACATTCTTTGATTGTGACGTAAGAGAGGCTTTTTGCCTTTTTGGGGGGTCTCTGTGACACCAGGGTTCACTGTAAGTCAGGAGCTCTCCATTCATCCCTGTAATGGTCCTTGCTGCTCTGAATTAGCTCTTCTGTCTCTCCTCCTGCTGCTGAGGTACCGTATCACCACTGCCTGTCTTGGAAAAGATTGTTTAGAACTGCCCAGACTGTGAGTGAGCTTGTTGACCAAAGGGGTCGAGGGAAGCTGCTGGATGCACGTTCCAGAGTTCTCCAGAGGTTCCAGACTGAATTAAATGTTTCCTCAATGTAGTTGAAACCTCCTCCAATCAAAGAGGGTCTTTGTCTCTGCTAAAATGGTCTGAATAAATCTGGGTTCACCAACTCCAAGCTCAGGTGGCTCTGTGAGTGTTAGCCACAGAGGCTGTGGGACAGAAGCCATTTCTGCCAAGTTCTCCCCTAATGTCCTAGAGGTCAGACATGAGGAGAAGAAAATCTAGGAGCCTTTCAGCAGAACATCCTCCAGCTTCTCCCTCTGGCATAAGAGATGTCTACAGGTTGCTTTAGTGAGGTTGCCATCTCCACTAGTGTTGTCAAAAAAATCGATACCTAGATATAAATCCATGCTTAAAGTGGATCTAAACTAGATATTCCATCCCTGTGGTATCAATATTATGGACTATTATACACAGCCTTCTTCAAGTACACCGGCACGCACGACGTCCAGATGCCGTAAAGCAGCCTCCGCCTCCCAGACAAACAGAAGAAGAAGACGCCGCATGGCTACATTGCAATTTCCCACGCGAGTTGTCTCCGATCCAAGTTTTGTCTGCCAAATAAATAAACAAAAACATAAACAGTGAATTTGGGAGGCGCTTCACAGCCCAACTTAATTAGCATACAAGTCCGACACGTAGTTGTATATTTACGCTTATGTGCTTAAAGGAAACTCCCGTTTATTGCAACCCGGACTTAATTTCTAGCATGCAGTACGTTTGTTTACTCACGCTGACAACTTTGGTGCTACTTGGATTCCCCGGGGTATTTAGATCCATCGCCGAATCGCCGTCAGCGTATATCCATATAACGGGTGCGGACGGGCACCCATGGTGCAGCCTCGAAATAAGACTTTATCTGCACCAAAACATCTTCATGTCGAAAGGTTTTTTTAGGAATCATTATCATGATTCCCCTGTTCTTTTGGAGCGGGTCTGGGATTTCTAGGCGTGAACAGACTAGCCGCGGCTAACTAACCGGCGCTTTTAATGACGTCACTGCCGTGCGCCAATCTGTTTTTATTAAGATTACCGGTAGATGTACCTTTGTCCTACTGTGGAGAAATCCGTTTTCTCCCTTTATTGACCAACAGAGTTGTTCAAAAGTACAGAACAAAACATATGGCGTTACATCTTATGACAAAAATGCACCTTAAACAGAGTTTAAGCAGCAAAACATCACTCTGCAAATAGTGTCTATATAGTGAGACAATTCATGATTTAAAGTGTTAACTTTTGCCAGTTTTTGTATGCACGTTTTAAAAAATGCTGATACTTGAAAGGTTTAAGCACTTTATACACTTAATTCTTAACATTTAATTTTTGCAATATAAATTGAGGAATGTTATTTTTTGAATAAACTTGTTCAATAAATTGGTGTTTTTAAATAGTATCGAAATCGAGTATCCAGTTTTTTTCCCCCCCAGTATCGAATCGAGTTTGAAATTTTAGTATCTGACAACCCTAATCTCCACACAGGTGTCGGAGAGACGATGCGATGCTAACTCACTTTTACAGGTTCAGCGCTTATACAGGCTTTTATGGTTTAAGCTTGTTCCTTTAAGTAACACAGAACTACCATGTTCCAGCTGTCCAACCTCGATAATATTAGTTCAATGCTGCGGATGGTCAGCCAGGAGCTGATGATGCAGATCCGAGAGAAGCTGGCCGACTCTGAGGAGGCAGCATACATCCAGAGAGCTGAGATGGAGCAGAACAGGATCCACTACCTCGCTACTGAGGAGAGATTCCTCTCACAGCTCAGGTAACGGATCTTTCTCAAAAGGTATTTGCCACGGGCGCTCAAAGTTATAGCTATAACATATAAAAATGTTGAAATCAGTTTCTACACAGCTGTGCAGTAATGAAACACTCGTAACGAACGCTTTATTTCGCCTCAAACCATCCTAGATGAAGGGGGGAGGTTGGCTGGGGGTTTCATCCCCGACACGTGTGGGTGCGAGCTAAAGTACATGATGTGCTCTGATTGGTTAAAACTTCCATTACCTTAGAAAGGTATCTGGATAAAGACAATTTACTTTGACAATCTAAAAGGAAGGAGATCAGTGAAGCTAACCTTTAACTTTCATAGTTTCCAGCAGAACATGAATAAAACAGACATTTATAGGTTGGTGGATGAGAGGGTCTGTAGTCATAGATCTTTCTAGTACGATGCTTACTGCAAATAAACCTACAGGAAGCTTTCTGGAGACCTTTTACAGCAAGGATTTCCAGAATAAAAGCACAAGAGAATCAGGGATTAGAGCTCTCTAAAGATAATTTCTGCCATTAGTCACACCTTGATGCTGGGATTTCTATTTCTGCAGTTTTTGTGTTTTCTTTCTTCAACTAGTGAACTGGAAGACCAGATGGAGTGTTTACAAAGCTCTGCCTCCAGTCCCATGAGACGGGCATCAGTCACTCTAAAAGATGTGGAGGAAGTAGAAGTACTTCTACAGCAGGTTGGACAGAATCTGGCCGTCCTCAAAGGTTGGTCCATCCAAAAAAAAAAAAAAAAAAAGGTTGGTCCATCAAAGCGGCACTGAAGGAAATTACATTTTCATTTATTATTTTAATAATTAAATAAGATTAACTGGACTAGTGCAACACAGTTTAAATGGTTTTAAACTTTATTTAAAAACAAAATTTTCTCACTGTGAAAAAACTCTTTTCAGTACAAGCATGACCTGACAGCACTTCAAAGTGTTCAACACACCGTTAAAATCCACCCCGGTTAATTTACACACGCAAACAAACGTGAAAATAGTCTTCTACCCCTATTTCCTGCGTTAGCTGCATATACTGTAGAAAATAGAAACGCTCAGATTAGAGGAGTCAGATCTACACCACAACACCTTGTGTTATTCATGCAGATAAAACATCAACGCTGCAGCGCAAACAGAGTCAGTGGTAGAGTCACGCCTATGTTAGCCAATCAGAGGTGAGATGTCAGAATATCAGGAAATAGGACTCCAAATCCTGTCGTCTGAAGCTCAGCTTCTACGAACTTCTATGAAACAAGAGTGCCAAAGCTTCTTTTCAACTCACATGACGTTCGTTTATACTAGAGCCAATCGTAAATGTGATGAAAAACTAGTGATGTTGGTCTTTAAATGTATTTGCAGCACAGAAAAAAAACTTTCCAAAGATTTTAATGATCCATAGTTAGCCAAAAAGCTTGGAGCCCCCCATTATTTAGCCTTCAGACCTCACAACTTCATTTGTGTGTGTGTGTGTGTGTGTGTGTGTGTGTGTGTGTGTGTGTGTGTGTGTGTGTGTGCCAGGAGAATTCCCCGTGCTGCAGGCCAACATGTGTTCAGTGCTGAGGACGGAGGTGGAGGCAATGCGGTTCCTGAAGGAGGAACCTCATAAGATGGACTCCATGTCACAAAGGGTCAAAGTCCTGAGTGACGTTCTCAGCTTCCTTCGCGGGTACCCACCAGCACTATTTAAAGTGAATCTGCTCGGCCAAGAAAACCTAAGGTCCTGGTGTGAGATTTTGTCTTTTCTCTGGTTTCGACAGGTCTCTGTTAGAGTCAGTTCCTTCAGCCAGATCAGCGGAAGCAGACCCTCTGAAGGTCTTGGACCAGGAACCCTCAAATCCCCAGAGCCTTTTCAGCTTTCCAAAACTCCAGTCTCTACATTCAGTCAGAGCCCTCCTGCCCACTGTCGCCCAATCCGTGGGCCAGGCTGGGGCAGCAGCCTCTGTGGTTCAGCCCTGCCTCGACCAACTCAGCCCTCCACCAACATCTGCTCATGGACAAGACTCACTCACCATGGCTGAGGTACCACTAACAAGACCTGTGGCTTCTCAAAGGGGCATATTTAACCAATAAAAGCATAGTTCCTCTAGCCTAGCAAGCCATCCTATATATGTGAGTAAATAGTCTGACCATGACCCATGGACAGATAGTGGTTGTCTTTTAAACCACATGTGTCAGACACAAGAGCATTTTATGAAGTGAACGATGGTAGCATTTTTATGTGGCCTGCGAGATAAATATCAAAAATGTATTAAAACTGACCCACTGGTTGATTTTACCATTAAGACTACAACTTCTATGATGCTTTGCGGCATTATCACGGAGCCGACGCGCCCCCTCCTTTGTGTTTTTTCCAGCGTCTGCTGCAGGTGTCTGCAGCTCCGCTGTCTCGGACAAACTAAACACTCCTCTCACTCAGTGCCGAGTTTACTCAGCTACTTGCCGACGTTGAAGCCAAGAAACGGAGATCTTAACCGCTCAGTATTGTGCTCACGACTGACAGAGAAAGTTTTCCAACTAACTTCCAGACAGAGCTGGTATAACTCCAGCGAGCAGCGACACGCTCAAGCCAGCATGACTCTGTGGCTGCTGTAGTTTTTATTTTTCTTCCCCGACACACAACGACGTGGTCAAGCTGGTCAGACATGTTCAGCAGCACAAACCCATGTGAGCACCTGTTGTCATTTAATGTTGTCATTATTATGATGAAGATGAACAAAACAACAGGAGTCTTCTCAGCTCAGAGCTCCTCAACGCCATGATGCAGGTATCTGGCTGGAACAGGTGAGCATCACAGTAAACCAGTGGAGCAAACGGAGCTTTAAATATGTTGGTTTTATGCTCTTTTTCTGCTCCAAAACATGAAAGTTAACAGGTGAGATGTTGCATTTTCATTTAAGATAAAATGATATTTTTATTTTGTTGTTGGCCCGTGAGAAAAGATTTAACCTACAGTAAACAGGAAGTGGAAAGGCTGCAGATAGATGAATAGAATAGAAAATCCTTTATTGTTTCTGAGTGGGGAAAGCTAGACGTCACAGCAGCAATGACACTTATTATGATAAATGATCTGCACTTGTATAGCGCCTCTCAGAGTAAGGACTCCAAAGCACTTTACACTACAGTGTATCATTTATCCATTCACACACACATTCTTACACTGGTGGAGATGACAGGCGAGGCTGCTGAGCACAGGCGCCACCGGACCCTCCAACCACCACCAGCAGGCAAGGTGGGTTAAGTGTCTTGCCCAAGGACACAACAGCAGAATTCTAAGTCCGGAGCCGGGATCGAACCTGCAACCTTCCGATTACTGGACAACCCGCTCAACCTGTTGAGCTACTGCTGCCCCGATGACATTTATTACAGGAGAAAATAAGGAGAATAAAAAATAAGAAAAATGAATAAACAACAAGAAAACATAAATCCTGAATAGATTTTAAAAATGCTGAATTTACAAGTAATGAATACCACTGATGCGTTTTATTTAAAATTGGCTTGCTCGTGTGTAATTTGGTTATTCCACATTCAGTGTTAATGCAAAAATAAGTTTGTTTCCAAATTAAAAGGTTCAAAATTGCATATATGTTGATAAAGAAAATGTGCAAATTTGTCACTTTTTCAAAAATATTAAGTTTGGCCCGCGACTTCATCCCAGATTTTCATTTCGGCCCAGTGTGAATTTAAGTTTGACACCCCTGTTTTAAACTGACAATCATCTCTACTAGTGATGTGTCGGTCGCAAACGAACCGGCTCTAAGAGCCGACTCTTTGAAGTGAATGACGGGAGCCGGCTCGTCATTGGGAGCCATCCCCTCCCCTCCCCCCTCCCCACTTGCTTTGGTGAAAGCTGCAGGTGATTTGTCAACATGTGTAACTGTGTGTCCAGACTGTCCACACATAGTGCAGTGGGGGGGGGGGGGGGGGGGTTTAGAGGGAGGATCAGACTCAGACACAGCAGAGCACATGCGGGTGGAGGGAGATGAGAGGGAATGGGGAGGAGGAAAAAGGCGAGCGAGAGAGAGGAGAGTGCGACGAAGACGGTGAGAAAATGAGCACCAGCAGTCGGAAAGTGGAGATTTCTTAAAGTGTTCAGTTATAAAATCCATAGAAATGATAAATATTTGATATATTGCATTTTTTTACTTTAGTAAATCATTGTACATATAGTTTTGCATTATTCTGGTTATAAATGTACTCTACGCAACAGAAAATCTGAGGAGCCACTTGGTGAGCTGAGCCAAAAGAACCGGCTCTCTAAAAAGAGCCGGAATTCCCATCACTAATCTCTATGCTGATGATTGTCAGCTTTATTCGCCAATTCAGCAAGGGGCCAGGGGTGGCCTACAGCAGCTGGTGACTTGTTTACAGGATGTTACTCAATGGATGGGGTCCGATTTCCTGAATTTAAATGAGGGCAACACTGAATATGTAATAGTTTTTACCTCAAATGACCACCAGCCCCATGGACTGGACCTTTCATTGCTGCTCCCCTGATCACTCTATTGCTGCAAAGTCTGTGATCACAGAGCTGGGTGTTAAAATAGATTCTCCTCTGCGATTTGATGTTCAGGTAAATCCTTGTTGTTCATTCTTGTTTTTACCAGTTGAGGCATTTATCCATGATTGAGTCGATCCTCACAAACAGGAGTTGGAAACCGTAGCCAACACTTTTATTACCTCGAGACCTGTATGCTGGCCTGAGCCAGTCCTCAATGACTCGGCTGCAGCTGGTCCAGAATGCTGTTGCTAGGTTTATTATGGAGCATGGAATTGCCAGTATGTCACTCCCCTCCTGACTGCTTTGGACTGGTTACCAGTGAAACACTCTATCCTATTCAAGATCCTGGTCTTTGTCTTCAACAGTTTGTCCGGAACTGCCCCACTGCTGACCCGCTATGTCCCTGCAAGTTCATTACGTTTGTGTCAGAGTGACCTCCTAGTGGTTCCGTAAGTCCGGGGCTGATCATGCCTTTTCAGTTCTTGGTCCTCGGCTTTGGAACCAACTGCCACTAGAAATAAAACATTCCACATCACTGCCCACTTTTAAAGCTAGGCTGAAGGTCCATCTTAGGTCTAGTTCCTAGCCTTTGTACTCTTGTCTTAACGGGGGACGGCTCCCAATGACGAGACAGCTCCCATCGTTCACTTCATAGAGCCGGCTCTCAGAGCCGGTTCGTTCGCGACCGACACATCACTAGTAGCTGGACTCGGTTTAGCCTTTGAAATGTGTTTCCCAAACTGCTACACATGGCAGCAGCATCAGAACGTTTTGCGCTCATAACAAGCTGATTCATAAAACAAGAAACCTGCAGCCTCTGTGAGTTTATGCAGATCAATGCTTAACACTAGAGCTAATTCAGCTGTAAACATTATGCGCACCTATTATGTCCCCCAACTTGCTAGGAATGATGCGGTGGAGGGAGTAATGCAAACATGTGAGGTTTTAAATAATAACAAAGTAGTGTGTCGCTAGAAACAAGGATTTTATTACAAAAACTCAAGTGGACAAAAAGGGAATATTTCCGTAAGAAAACAAAGGAGCTATGTACATAAGGTTTTACCAGAAAGCGCCAGCCCAAAAGGGGCTGGGATTACTAACAGAAATAGTCCACCGAAAATCCACAACGTAAAAAGGAGCAGTCGCTCAGGCAAATCCAAATCCGAGTGTATAACCAAAGGTCGAGTTTACAAACACAGCTGATCAGAAAGTTGAGCACATGAGAAGAGAGGAGAGAGGAGAGGAGTGAGAACACTTCCGTGCTAACACTTCCCTGTAACCTTCTCCCAGTCTCAGCCCAGGTGACAGCCTTTTATCAACTGTGGTGTGATTAGAATCACACACAGCTGGGCAACTGGAGGAAGGAGCCAGGTGAGGACGGCACCACTGAGGCTATCTGGTGGCCGGAAAAGGGAGCATCTGTAACAGCACCAAAGGTGACAGATGTAATGACTCGTCATCGGATTCTGCTCCTCCTGATGGGTGTTCCGGCTCGTAGAACCTGGACGTCCGTTGATTCCGGCATGGCTGTTGGGATACTTCGCTCGCTGGGACCTGACCTGCCTGCTGCTCTTTCCCGCACTGAATCACAATAAGTGCAATTACAAAGATCAATATGCTATTTTGGAAGTATTCCCTACCCGTGGATATATAAGTTTGCTCTTGCTTCAAATGATCACCTCCACGTGGATACCTTAATAATCTGCTGACTTGTGTGCTTCCAAAGGGATTATGCAAGACTGTTGAAACCATAGACTCTTCTTCGGAGTGGGGTTCGTACCTCACCACTTTTGGCCTCTTCCTGGGGAACTGCACCTTCCCCTGTCGTCGGAGTCCCTTTAGGACTCTGGTTTGTTCAACGCCAGGTGGTCTCTGTATGGGCCACCGTACCATTGAAAAGGGGGAATATGTAACGGAATGAAATGACTGTTTTCCACCTAAAGGTCATTTCCCCCTCTTCTCTGACACATAACTAGTCTGCATGAGATATGGCCTCGAGGTCTCATGCATTTGCTATAAACTGCTTTCTTTCCAGCTCAAGAGAAGAATGAAGAAAGTACTCTCTCCTTTTAATAAATCAAAGAACTCTATTTTTAATAAAGCTAATCAAACAAAGTGTTAGTCAATAAATAAGATAGGACCAATCTGTGAAATCAAAATATTAATTACTTTATTATAATCCTATAGAATATAATAAGTAATATGACTTTAAATGTTTCCACTAGGACTGATCTCACGTAGAGTTAAAAGACATCACACATTGCTTTTACTGATCCAATCAGAATCTGCCAGATCTGACGGAGGCGTGGTTTTGGTGGTGCTTGGTAAGTCTGTCATCTTTTCATTCGACCATAAACCAAAACATCCGAAGTATAAAACTATGCCCACGTCATCTCTAACGCCAGTTCAAAGCGTTCTAGAGGAGTTGTCGGAGTGGCCAATCCGTAACTTTCCTCTTCAGTCAAAAGAACCAACGACAAGCTGGATAAAATCTGTTGCTGTTCCACCTGCTGCAATGGTTCCTTTCAGAATAAAAGCTGAACCAACACGACCCCATTTTGGGTCTCGCTAGATGCCGATAAACTGTCGTGACCCGGAAGTATCTCAAGACTGGTGGTTGGCTGCCGCGGCTTCGGCTCCATAAAGGTCAAGCTGGACCTCTTCACCTCCTGATCTAGACGGGGACTTCCGCTAAGGGTATGTAGACCGACAGAATGGCGTCGAATGTGTTTATGAATCTCCTAACCAAAGCTTAGTGCGAAGACATCACCTTCATTCCCACCAGAACTAATCGCTTCTTCGGATTTGCTGGTTCTGAACAACATTCCACATTACACCATTCTCCGTCTCATTCACCTTAGTTACACCATACATTTCGTGTTAAAGTTAGTCTAGTTTAATCTGTTTAGTAATAAATCTTTACACCTTTAAACATGACTCTCTCTTCTGTTGTCTCTGAGTGAATATGAGGCTGTTACATAATCCCTGCATTAAAAAGTTCCAATCTTCTGGTTAAACAGTACCCACAGATCCATAAGGTTGATTTCATATTTACTATGGAATCTTATGTCTTATGGCTTATTAAATAACATGTAAATTGAATCATTACACAGATCATTTGCTGCTGTGGCCCTCAGACTCTGGAACCTAAACCTCCTTTCTTTCCCATTCTGACCTTCAGTTTGGAGTTCAGGAGAATGTCTTGAACACAATCTAACACCAAAGAAACTGAGTAAACAGTTTTATTTCATGTGTGAAAAACTGTGGTTATTTTATCATACAGCTATTATTTCATGACTTTATGCATAAATAGTGAAAGTATATCTTTCTGAATTTCAAAAAGCAAAAAGTAAAAGAAGATGAATGAGGTTAAGCTTGGTTTATGCTTGACACATTTACTTTACGCTTGGTGATGCGGCTCGAGGATGGAACGCGCTTCACAACTCGCAGCGTTTATGGTTCATGCGGCTCGTCTCTGCGGTGAACCAATATTCTCCCAAACTGTAGGGGGCAGCATGGAGCTCTACGGCATGCATCCAACACTACACCATAGTAGAAGTAGAAATTACTGTTTACAACATGGCATTTCAGCATTTTTAACAGCGTCCTCGTCTTTTCCGACAGTGCGAGCTATTTCTCTCCAAGAATTGTTAGCAACATGTTGATCACGGTGATCTCTGAGAGCTGAATCATACAAATGTCTGTATTTACGAACCTCTGCCATAACTGGTTCTTGCCGGTCCGCCATGTTTTTCCACGTCCGACCATCCGCATGGTTAGAAAATTTCCTAGGTGCGCGGTGCGGAAATTTTGGGCCGTGCGGAGGCGCGATGGAGGGGCGTGGTTGTTAAAATGATGCAAAATGACGCAACTTTTCCGCGCAGAGCCGTGCGGACCTCGCGGGAGCATCAAGCATAAACCAACCTTTAGTGGGAGGGAGGGAGGGAGACAGCAGTCCTGGTGTGTTTTCTTAGGAGGAGGAGATTAAATGCATTTTTCTGCTTGTTATGGTAAATGGTCTGTATTTGTATAGCACCTTCTTAGGGTGCAACCCCCCAAGGCACTTCACAACACAATCAGTCATTCACACATTCACACACTGGTGGGGATGAGCTGTGTAGCCACAGCTGCCCTGGGGCGCGCTGACAGAGTCGAGGCCTGCTGAACACTGGCGTCACCAGTCCCTCCGACCACCAGCAGCATTGTTATATTAATGGTTAAAGGTGTTGTGATCTAATTTTGTTTGTATCTTAGAATGTCTTCATGTTTGAACCTTGCTGAACCACGCGTCTTCTCTATCACCAACCTACAGGCTACACCCAAACAAACTCAAGATGGTAGGTCGGACGTAGACATCAGCGATGCAAACTGGAACCATTCCACTACCAACGCAGCCACCCAGTTACCTCTCCGTACCAGCACAGGCCATATCCAGCTCCTACAGGTGGACCAAACCATGAAGACCATCATCCCTGAGTCAGATGTCAAAGAGAGTTTCTGTCATTCAACCTCAAGATGGACTCGGTCAGAGCAGAACGCACCTCTGGGTGTGCCTGAGCCAGGTGGGCTGGACTGTAAAAGCCACATTAAGTCTGACATGATCACACGATTGATCACATATTGACTGACCCACACCTCATCACTGTCGGTTGAACATTTTCTGGGTTTAGTTTTTATAATACAATTTTATTTATCATTCCTGTGTGCCAATAAAAACATCCAAACTTGTATTTATTAGCTTACTTGGATTTTTTTCCCGTTAACTGTCTGTTTACTTCCTATGTTTGTCTTTGCGCTACAAACTCAGCAGAAAAGGAGCAACTGTCTCACATCCAAGAAGATAAAACTCTGCAGCCAAGAGATGATGTGAAATCCTCCCAACGCAGCAAGTCAGATACAGGTATGAGTGAAACGTACACATGAATCCATCCTTTGACCCCGGCTGGAGGTCCCACAGTAAACTGGTGGAAAGGATGTATTTTATTCTAAGTAAATATAACATTTGTTTATTCCTATCCAGAGTCTGTATCCTTTGCATTCTGAGAGCTGACAGAGAAACCACTATTTAGCAAAAACATTTGTTTTAAAAATAATTGTCCTGCAATTGCAACACTTCACTCTTTTTCCATCAAAAATGAGAAAGTTGGTAGTCAGAGCTTTGATGTGATGCTTCTGGCAGCTTGTCTGGTCACTTCATCCCCGGAGCACGGCAGGCAGACACGAGTAGAGAAAACCCACAGCTCCAGTGAGAACAGTGACAGTGGGCTGAGTCGGGACACGTCTCCAGCGTGCTCCACAAGGTCAGTGGTTCTGCAGTAATAAAGCTGGGATCTTTACAGAGCTAGAATATTTGCTCTCATCTTCTCATTTTACTACTGTCTGTTCAGGTTGCAAGACATCATGTCAGACGTGATTCCTCCTTCCCACAAAGATCCTGCTGGAGCCGCGGTAAGGGCAGACCACAGTCAACAAACTCATTGTGCTAAAATTAATGGCTGATGTTGTAAAAACTGCAAGACTAAGGTGTCATGTTCTAACACAAACGGTGAAAGTTGGTGACGCTGGAAAGACAGATGACCTCCAGCGCATGAGGTTAGCTACCTCATCCGTGGCACTCGCAATAGGGCACCAACTCAAGCTGTGGAAGGCTTCACAGAATAACACTTCCAGAAAATCCGAGAGCAGGAGATGAAAAGAGACTCAACAGGTCAGACACAGAGACAGCTCACTCAAAAAACCGGGAAGGCTGTGGAAGTAAAGTACGATAGCATGAAGACTTGCAGGAGTGTCAGAGGGCTGAAGATACATCAAAGCTGCCAAATGTAGGAAAAAGGTGCCCACGGGAGCAGCACACGGTGGAGGCACCAGGTGAGGACTCCAGTCAGGAAGCACCCTACAGGACTGGAAATCTCTCAGTCCCTGTCATGTAAAGACCACAGGAGGGACCACCCAAACACTGTCTCGGGGAGCATCCTCCATGTTGGAAGAGAAAGAGTTAACTGACCCAAAATTAGCGATAACAGACGCTGTGTCTCAATTCAGGGTCTGCATCCTTCGAAGGACCCAGCCTACTCGGCCGACGTGGGCTGGGTCCTCCGTCGGCCGAGGAGACCGGATGTTAACGGCTGTGAATTTGGACAGGCCTAGCCTTCATGAACTCCCGCCACTCCCTCGGCGAACGTTGCGTCGCCTAGCAACCGTGGAGCCGCTGAGCAGAAGGGAGAAGGAACTTTAAACGATGGAGCTCGAAGTTTTATTTAGTTTCTTAATCATTTCCTTGACCGTTGGAGAGCTAATTCAGAGAAAATACTTTCGACAAGCTGAGCCTGAGCAAAGATGTGATAATAGTTTTTAATACTTCCTAAGGGTCTTAATTTGACCAAAACCGATTTATCACCTTTTAAGACTTTTCAAGACCCAGCGGTTACTCTGTAATGTTAAACAATTCACATTTGTAAACAAAAACAAAATTCAAGTGTTTAATGCAGAACTGATTTTATTTAGATATTTCTTTTATATGTACATGTTTAATCTTTATTAACCATTTTTTCTAGCAAGCCTGTCAAAGTTCTCCCTTCTCTCTCTGTGCCCTCTGCTGCTCTGCCTCCCTCTGCAGCCTCATGTCCTCCCTGATCAGCTCCAGAAGCTGGTCATCGCTGTCACCTTCCCCTGGATGCCCATTTTCTCCAGAATAGTCTTAACAAACATGTAAGAAATGAAACAGGAAGAGAAAAGAGGACAACGGGTTATTCCTTTCATGTTTTCACAGAAAAAAATAAACTCAAACGACAGTTTTTAAAATATGAGATGTTATTGTACCTCCATGCCACAGCCGCCGAATACTTTGCTCCAGTGATCATGTGGTCCATCTCCATCCTAAGCTTAATAAAGTCCCTGGTTTTCTCTTTTGTCCCTAAAATACAAACTTCTATTAAAATCAGGGGGAAACGTAGCGGGAGAAGTACGACACCGAGCAGCTGAACATACGAGCCGAGACCGCAATACAAGCACTTTTACTGTAACATCTCTAACTAAAATAACGTTCATGTATCACAAAAAGCCCTTAACCTAACAGTTTTCAAGTTTATACTGACATTTATATGCGCAATCCTCTCCGACAGCTCCCGCTTCACTGTCCGCCATTGTTTTTAAAAGTTCTGCCGTCCGACCTGCAAGGCATCTTGGGAAATGTAAACCATTGAAGGAAACACCGGACCCATCCTGCTTGCAGGCGAAAAGAAGGCCGGATTCGTCGACCGCATTTGAAGGAGTCTTCAAATTGGGACAGGCCTAGTCGCGGCGCTGTGACGTAACCGGCCGACGAAGGATGCAGACCCTGAATTGAGACACAGCCAGAGACTGGGAACAACTGGACCAAGGCCTCAACAAAGTGCTGGAAGCCACTCTGGCAGGATCAGCGAAGCATAAAGCTAATACTCTTGCAGCAATACTCCACAACTTAGCAAATGAGAGGTTTGGATGTGAGGAGAGGAAAACTAGCAATGAGACGAGGCACCAGCCAGACAGCAGAGAGAGGAGAGTCCATCGGCTGAGTGGCGAAAACAAGAGGAAAGAGCTTACAAGCCAAGTCTCAGAGCATCTCTGTAGATAGCAGAAAGCACTCAGAAAAAGCAAGAGGACAGGGAGAGTAAAAGATCTCAGTTCATCAAGAGCCCCTTTGGATTCACCAGGACATTATAGGATGAAGCTAAAATGGGGAGGCTAATGAGTCCCAAAGAAGACGTGGAGGAGTTTTTAAAGAAAAACCACAATGACGTGTTCAGGAACCAGCCACTGGAGGACAACCCAAGGACTGACAGCGTCGGGCCCCCTGAAAATGAGTTCAGCACTAGTGAACCATCATGAAAGGAAGTCCAAGAAGTGGTGAAGAAATCCAGAACAGGTGCTGTCCAAGCCGTATACCCTATGAGGTGTATAAGTAGCGTTTTCTGCTCCTTTGGAAGCTCCAGAAGCAGCTGGAAAAAGGCAGAGGGCTGTTACATGCGGAAAGAAGAAAACTCCTTGAACACTTCAGAACAATGTCATTGCTAAGCATAGAAGGCCAGATTTTCTTTTCTGTTTTGGCCTGAAGGATGACACTGTGTTGTGTCCTGGACTACAGGACTACAACCGCTAAGACTACGACCGCAAATTTGTTCTGACCAATCAAAATCGTAACGTGATAACGTAACTTCTGTAAACTTCATGTTCAGCCAAGCAACTACTTTGACGTCATCGGCAGTCGAAGGACCCCGAGCCGATCCTGCACCCGAGCAGATCCTGTACCGACACCGGCACACTGTTTGGCTTTCTGGCACCTGTCTGCTGATTCTGGGTGCCCACTGTCCGATAATGCTCTGTAGGCCCCATCCTTCAGTCTGATGGCTCCCCCTAACCACCAGCAAGTTCGAGGGTTACCACTGAGTAGCACCAGGTGATCTTTGAGCACAATGCTGACAGCTTCCACCTGCAACATAGGCTGTCTTGGTACAATGGGCACGGATGGGTGTATTTATGTTTAAAGATGGTGTTCGTTTTGGCTAAAATGCAACTTGAGGAGAGGTCTAGTAAAATAAACTCCACCTGTGCTCAGGTTGGGTGGGCCATTCCTCCCATTCACGCCCCTCCGTGTCACACTGATCTTACCCATGTGAGCAACTAAACCTCGTAGCAGGACAATGCTTCCCCAGTCAGTGCATCATCTAGCACTCTTCCCTGGACAGCCAGGGTCAGTTCCTCAACAAAACGGCACAGGAAATTAACCTTTTGTCCCCTTTTGTTACCTCTCACCCTGGACCAGCTCCAGTGAAGAAGAGAGTCCAAACCCCGTCAGTGACTTGGATTCCAGTATTGCCCATGTTGCTGCTGACTAGACCATGGACGCAATTTTGGGGGGGACAGGGGGGGGGTGTCCGGGGGGGTGTCCCCCCCCCCTTTCCAAAGTCAAGTTTTGACCCCTGCACTTTTTACCATCCAAAAACAATATTACGCTATATTAAATTGACACTGGTTGAGCTCTAGGACCAAGCGGAAAACAACTGTTTGCGTTGAAGCCTGTTTCCCATTAGAGCATACTGTAAAGATACCCCCCCACCCCCACCCCCCCGTGTCCCCCCCACTTCTAAAGTGAAAATTACATCCATGGACTAGACTCAAGGGTAACTGCCTTGTTATATTCTTATTGTAAGGTGCTTTAAATGAAAACATCTTCCATGTGCATAAACACTAAACATCTTTGAAATCTACTGTTGGTGACACTGTTTACAATGTAATAGATCATCTGTAATCAAAATAGTATTTATAATCACTCTGTCTGATTTTAGGTCTCTACAGAAAAGTTTGGTAGGACTCGTCCCCATGGCAAAGTTACGAAAGATGCAAAAGAAAAGGAGAGATCTCCACCCGCTCAAGTGGCCAGTAGGAACTCCACACAGGGTCCCACGATCAAACCCGTAACAGCAGGTGAACTGCAAGATCTTCATGGGGATGGAATAAGTGGAAGTCTTGATGTCAAGAAAGATGTGGAGGAGAGGGAGGCTGAACAAGGACCTTCCCTCGTCTGTAAAACGCAAGAGAAGCAGGAGATGTCTTCTCTTGTAGCGTCAGAGGCATTTCCTCATCCCTCTGAACTTCTGAACATGCAAGAGACAATGGTTCCTACTGGCTCAGCTTCACAGCAGCAACAGGTTCTTTATGTAAACAATCGATGTCAAACTGTCAAAATCAATGTTGATCAGTCTCCATCTCCAACCACGGCAGAAAAGAACGACATTGTTGTGCTGCAAAATGAACCGAATCAAGGAACTGTCGCAGTTCGTGAACAGACATTCAAAAAGTTTGGAAAGAAATCACCAGCTGAGAAGTCTAGTCCAGGAGAACTGGCACACAAACAAGGAAAGTCCAAGTCCTGGACGATAAGGCCATCACACGTGGTGCAGCAGGACGAGACCCTGAGCTCCAGCGAGGACCATGAAACATCCTTCCCACCTTCGTCTCTGTCACCTCAGAACAGAGAGCAGCAAATCCGGGAGGAAACGGTGCCGATGTTTAGAGACCAGGCGCTGATCAGTGAAGAGGGAGGCAGCTTCAGCCACAATATTTGGGACATTGAAGAACCACCTCCTCCTCCACTGACTCACAGACTCGTCATGACTAACATCTGGTCAAAATCTAACATGGACGATCCACACAACAGGCAGAACAGCAAATGTGAGAACGGTGCTCTTGTTAATATGGGCCATGAGAACTACGGTTTCGAGGACAGGGATGAGTCCGACTCTGAACCTACGATGGCTTTCTTCAACATGCCTGTGGACCCTCCATCACCCTACACGCCTCTGTCTACCATCTTTGAGTATGAAGAAGATCTTGAAGTGACTTTGTGTCGGGATGGATTTTTAAAAGAGTCACAATTTGAAGAGGAGCAACGTGCCGACCCTGATTTAGGGTTACGCCTCGCTGACATCTCAGGGAACGGCTCGAATTTTCCACAGCACTCAGAACTGTGTGTTTCACACCCTCAAAACCAAGGCCAGGCTCACACAAACTGCTCCGCAAAGACCGAAGCAAAAAGCAAATTCAAATTTAAGTTTCCCAAACTGTCTGCACTCAGCCAGGCTATTGGGATGGGGACAAAGACGGCTGAAGCAGACAAAGAAAAGAAGGTGGCGTCAGAGTGCAGGTCAGTCGTGGAGACCAAGACTCAAATAAAAGAATGCATGACCTCTGAGGTCAACGGCAGTAAAGAGCTCAGCGTGAGCAGGAGTAACTCCTGTAGCAAAGACACCCCTACAGACGCTAGGATGTCTGAGTCGCACGCTCGGGTAGAAGCACTTTGCAAGAACGCGTTTAAATCTATCAGCAGCTTAGAAGAGTCCATCAAGCAGCTGGAAATCAGCATGGACAATATGGCTGCCCCTTCTTCTCCTCTCCCTACAGTGGCTTCACCTTCTCAGGATCAGAGGTTTTCCTTTGATTCTACTGACAGGCATACACCTAAAGGCAAATCTAAACTAGAGGAGGAGAGAAGACACGCCACCCAGACGTCTGAAGACCCAAATCCAGCTGAGAGGAAGCGAGCCAGATCACAGCCGTCTCACAACTCAGGGAGAGTCGTCACCAAAAGACAGGTTTGATGCTTCTGTGCTCAGAACTTTTCCTGTGCTGGTGGGGGCTCTGAACTGTGACCTCCTGCTTCATGTCTTGAATCTTTCTTTTGTAAAAGAAGTTAATTTACATCTAATTAAGGACCCGTGAGACATTAAGATTCCATAGTGATATGAAATCAATCTTACGGACCGCTGGGTTATTTAACCAGAAGATTGGAACTTTTTATTGCAGGGATTATGTAACACTTCACATTAACTGAGAGACAAGAGAAGAGAGAGTCCTTTAAAACATTTAAGATGATTTATTTCTAAACAATTTAAACAATTTTAAACAAGACTAACTCTAAATGATGGATGGATCTGGTGGAATGAGACGTGAGATGAATGGTGTGTGTGTGATGTTATTATCAGAACTCATGATTAAGGACGGGCCATCCTGGACTCAGTAGCACACTATTTACAGGTTTATGTGGTTGTGGCCGACGGTGGCAATGAAGTTAAGCGCTCGCCCCCAGTGCTCGGCAGCCTCGCCTCTGTCAGTACGCCCCAGGGTAGCTGTAGCTACATCGTAGCTCATCACCATCAGTGTGTGAATGGGTGAATGACAGGTTGTGTTGTAAAGCGCCTTGGGCGGTTCCAGAACTCTAGAAGGCGCTATATCAAATACAGGCCATTTTTGTGGGACAGAATCGGAAAGTTGATCACGTCGTCTCCTGCTGTCGTAAACATTCAGAGACAAGTTAAAAGACACTGAATGCGGCTCTCTGAGTGGAGAGAACACTAGTGGAGAGGAAAAGAAATCTAAAGTGATAGAAGTCCTAAGACACAGTGGCCGAATAATAAATTTTTTTTATTTATTTATTGTTATGCTTTTTTTTTCACCCTTCCACTCCGACCCACAATCCAGCTCAGTAGATGGCAGAAATGTAACTACAAGCTAGATGCCGTCCTCCATTAAACAACAGAAGAAGATGTCTGGGTTCCCACACGTCCTGGAGAACCTGGAAAAATGATTTCCAGTAATGGAAAACACATGGAAAATGGGAAATAAGTAAAATGTCCTGGAAACGTTTAAGTTGCCTGGAAAACTGTTTCTTTTCTTGTGGATGAACCCAAACATTTACGCATGAAGGATGAGCTGTAGCGCTCGTCTGCTTTCATTTCTGCTTCTAGCCGGCACAGCGCTCCATGTGATGCTACCAACCAATCAGATTCCATATTCCCTTAGAACATTTTTCTTCCCAGTGTTTCTGTCTGATTTCTAAAACCCAAGTAAGGATTTATTTCTCCAAAGCTGTGGGCATGTTGTCACTCACGCCTCTGAGCAAAGAACATTTTTGGCTTTAGTGGAGCCGTAACGACGACATATAATCAGTATTTTACTCTGTCAGATTATTTTACACAGACTTGATAAATCAAAATAATTTAGAGTCAAAAACACAAAACTCAGCTATGAATGCCATTGTGTATACCAGATGTGTGATGTGGTTGATGCGAGTAGATGCAATTCATGTATAAGTTTGATTATAGTTAATATTTTCTATTGTTATTAACTGTGAGAGTTTGATGAAATCAAACTTTATTTGTGCAGAACTTTTCATACAAAAGAAAATGCAGCTCAAAGGGCTTTACAGATTAAAATGACCCCTGTAAAGGATGAGTCGTTTACGTCTTACTTTATGAACCATAACATGTGAGATTCCATAGAAATATGAAATATCAATCTGATGGATCTTTGAATATTTTAACCAGAAGATCGGAACTTTTTATTGCAGGGATTAAGCGACACTTCGTATTAACTCCGAGGAAAGAGAGAGAGTCAGGTTTATAATAGTTAAGAAATTTATTTCTACACAATTTAAACAAGACTAACTTAAACACTCTGTGTACTGATGGACTAAGGTGGAGTGAGACGTGATGAATGATGGTGTGTGTGTGTGTGTGTGTGTGGAATAATATTCAGAACCAGCGGATCCGGAGAAGCAGTTAGTTCTGAGTGGGAGTGAATGTTTCACTCTAAACTTTAGTAGGAGGTTTATAACACACACGAAATGCTTTCTGTCGGTCTACATACCCAGGGGAAGCCTCCGTTAGATCCAGAATGCTGAGGTCCTCGTGGACCCTCTTTGGTACCGAAGCCGGTAGAAAAGCAGCGGTGCCGACCAAACTAGTCTTGGAATTCTTCCAGGTCACGACAGGTTATCACTGGCATCTCCGAGACCCTGAAGGTGTCGTGAGGTTCAGCTTTTATTCTGAAGGAACCGTTGCGGTCAGGTGTAACTTGCAACAGATTTTATCCAGCTTGTCGAGGTTCTTTATGGCTGAAGAGGAAGTCCGGACGGCCTGTCCGAGACTTCTCTAGAACGCTTGAACTAAAGTAAAGGTGGTGTGGAATAGTTTTTATAATTGTCATATTTTGGTCTACTGGTGAATCAGAATTTGACATGCAAAAGAGGGTTTATACAAACACCACAGAAAACCACGCCTAGCCGGAAACAAAGGTTCTGATTGGATCAGACAAAAGGAAATGTGTCATGTGACTTTAGTGTTACGTGTCATTAGTGTCTAGTGCAAATGTCCAAGATTATAATTACTTGTAAAATACTACTGATCACAGGATTATAATATCAAGTAATAACATTGTCATTTCACAGATTGATTGAACATTGGGCTCACATACATGGTAATAACAAACGTTGTTGATTATGTGTTCATCAAAACAGTTCTTCATCTTTAGCTGTAACAAAGGTGAAGCAGTTCAGATGAGCAGAGTGCATGAAAGACCTTGGCCACTAGCTCATGTAAATTAGGCTGTCAGAGACTTTAGGTCTCTGCTCGAGCAGACACAGTAGATCATGACCTTTAGGTCAACAACAGGACATTCATGACGCTACACCCCATATAACCCATATTCCCGTCCCTTCCCCACGAACATAAAAACAGTTATGAACAGCAGCGTATGAACTAAAGTAGAGGATAAGTTCTGTTTTAGCTGCACAAGTAAGGCATTTAAGAGTTAAATGCGTCAATAAGGCATTGATGTCGAGATAAATTTCAAAAGAGGAACTGATGAAGAAAATATAACAAGACGGGCAGAACTGTCTCTAGGAAACACTAAAATTAAGCCGTTATTAGGGGTCCTACGGTGACGTGCACTCTATAGTAGTGATGGGAATTTCGGCTCTTTTTAGAGAGCCGGTTCTTTTGGCTCAGCTCACCAAAAAGAGCCGGCTCTTTCGGCTCCCAAGTGGCTCCTCGGATTTTCTGTTGTGTTAAGAGTTCATTTATAACCAAAATAATGCAAAACTATATGTAAACTGATTTACTAATGTAAAAAAACGCACT